AATATACTATCACTCTATAATTGGTTACATTAATATTAAAAACTAGTAATAAATAAAATTCTTGGACGAAATCAAATAACAAAACTTAACCGAATAGTGAGTGAAAACATAACAAAATTAGACTGGAAAACATAGGAACATATGTAACCTTATCACATTCACATGAGCTACAATAAAATGCAATAAATATTAAATAGATAATTATTACAAGCTTAGAGTAAATACATAACAAGTAAAATCTTAAATTACTACCTAGATACTATTTTATTACTATAGATACAATTCTTATCCTCGAGGTACTCTTGGATACTATAATAAGATTTTTTTATTAATAAAGACTTCAATCTAGTTTGAAATATACAAATAGTTTTGGTCGACCGTATTTCTTCAGGTAACTTGTTATAGATTTGTATGCTTCGGTATTCTGGACTATTTTTATACATTTGCAGTCTAGGTGCAGGTAGTATCAACTTGTTTTTCCGGCGTTCGTTTTTGTTAAAATTAAATAACTTGATGTTTTTCTTTACAAAACTGGCCAATTCTAATATGTAGATCTGAATAAATCTCTATATCTGAATAGATCTCAGATAAATTGTCTGTCAGTGAAGCTAGGTGCTCGTTCCAAAGTGTAGTTTCTAAGCTTTAGAACGAGCACCTAGGGAGCCAACTCTCATTTCATAAATAAATCCAGTTTGATATTAAGAGTGACCTGTACCCTGATGTAAAGGATCAGGTTTTTTATGGTATAGTTCGGCAAACGGCTAACGAGCAGACCACCTGATGGTGGAAGCAATCAGAACCACCAATGGACACCCGCAACATCAGACGAGTTAGAAGTATAAAGCTAACCTTTTTAGGGTTGAGAAAGGAAGAGGAAGGCGGATTGGGCCACCCGTAACCGAGTTCACATAGCCAAATCTCAACGCAAGCGACATTTCACTATGGTTTCCTGCTCAGCCGTGGTATCACTCCGGTCGAGTGGCCCATTCGTTGCAAATGGGTACTTTGTTAAGAATAAAACAACAAAATTCATCTTACGCAATATTGTAATATTTCACATAAGCCGACTGGTTGGGGACCAGACATTGTGAACCTTACATCGAGTGATTCAGTTAGCCATTCGTACAAAATTTCCAAAATACTTGTTCTTTTCAAACAACAGAGATATAATTATGAGCCGTAGACTGCTTTATACTGGGATGGTAGAGGCGATTATACCTAGAGAGCTCCCTAGGTAAGCGACCCATAGTTGGGGACCGCGGCGCCCTCTGTATCCTGGCGCCCGGCACTTGTCTAGTCAGCCTCATGGATAATACTACTCTGTGTAATGGAGTGGACAGCTTAAAGATAGATTCAACTTCGTAAAGTACATATCAAAGTACACCAATGTTTCAAACAATGAAAATTAAAATGTTACAATTTAACTTCGACGATAATTGTCCAAAAACTAAACGTAAACATTATTTATACAAAAAACCTTCTCATTGATTCAATATGCCAAGAAAATCAACAATTTCGAAAACAATACAAATAATTTGCAAAAATAACACAACCATCATTGTATTCATTACTTCAACAGCGTATTTATACGTTTGTCCACTCCGATACAAATTATTTCGCTTTCCTCAACAAGTCTAGGGCCCAAATGTGTTTACGAAGCACAAACATGTATATTCTTAGTACATAACATACCGAAGCGGGTATTGAATACAACGACAACTTATTATCATGATAACTTTACAAAAGAGATGCTTTATCCTAGACAAATCAAATACTTTGACAATTTCAAGTATTGTTTAAATGAAACTACATTTGGAGGCAAAGAAATGGAGCCACTAGCGTTTCTTTCTTTTTCATTTCTCGATAAATATTTGCTGATACAAGTATTTCTTTAATTGGTAACGTATGTCGTATAAAAGACAATTTAGTTACCTTTAAAATGAGAGCCACGGAGAAGGTTTGAGCAGTAATCACCACGCTTGCTCAATGCGAGTTGGCGATTACAAACTATAAGCCCACTTTTCCTTCACCGTTTGTCAGTGGTGTAGATAATCTTAGAAAGTACATATAACTCGGAAGTCACATTGGTACTTGCCGTTGGTAGGTTTCGAGCCCGCACCCTCATGCATGAGAAGCGGGCGTCTTACACCTCCGGACTAACACGACATAAAATGAGAGCATTTTGTTGTTTTAATTGTAAAGTTACAGAGAGTTCGACAAAATGTAAAATAAAAATGCTAGTGGCTGTTTCTTAGTTCCTAAGCGTATTTCCGATTATATACGTTCGTTCATCATAAACGCTACAAAGCCAGTTCCCTGATAAATTGTAAATGAGCGACAGATTGTAGCAGGTCAAACTACTTTATTAAAAACAAGCTTTTTATTATATCATCTGGAGAAATGGATACATCTAACGAGCCCAAACTCGATATGTTTACTAGTAGCTCAAGATCTACCTTCCGATTCCACCATCAAACCAGCTCGACGGCACCATAATATTGTATTGTCGTCTAATCTACATACAACTGCCGAGTTTCACGACGATACAACAATGACAAGTGTGTGTAATTCAGATTCTTAGATTGTGTTACATAGTCCGGTACAGGTCGACCTAGTACATGCGTGTTAAGAATTAAATTAGTTGGACCTGCTACCATGTTCCTTATTGTATAGAAACCATAATTGAATTTATATAAAACGAACATTTTAAATTCTATTTTTTCATATGCAAACTACTTTGAAAGCATCAGCTGTCTATTATAAACAATTTATCATAATGCTTATAATTTCCTGAAGGGGGTTGGGTAGACAGAGATGCACGTATTAGAAAACCTAATTGATAATGTAGGCTACTGTATTCTTGCTTGCCACATGACGATAGTGAGTAGATTTCTGTCCAATAAGCAACTGTAGCCAAATGCCATTTAGCGCTTGTCTACATGTAGAATAGAAAACCAAATTACATGGAATTGACGTAAATTTTGACGCTTGTCAGTGTCATCCCTATACATTTTGATTTCTACTCTCTCAGTAGACAAGCGCTAAAGTGGCGTTTGGGTAAAGGCCAAGGAATAGGGTAGATGACTAATTTTTATTCCAATGGCATGATGGTAAGCAATCGGCGTCGCCTATGGACACCTGGAACACCAGAGGCGGTACAAGTGCGTTACCGGCCTTTTGGGGATTGGGAATTTGAGGATTCGAACTAAGGGGGTCGGGGTAATTGGGCCTCCGGTAACCCTCACACGTCGAAACACAACGCAAGCGTTGCTTCACGTCGATTTTCTGCTCGGCCGTGGTATCACTGCGGTCGAGTCGGCCCAGCCGGCTCCTAGACTTAGATACATTGGCGCCGTCTAGCGACCAAGAGTACGGTAGCCCCCATTATATAATTATACATCTATTTCTATTACGGGTCCGCGTGTACAATATAACACCCACTTTACATCAGTAATGTTATGAGTCCCCTGTCATAGGGGCACCTAAATCTTCGCAAACCGAAGATAATGCTCTGGAATCGAGCCGGAGACCAGCTCATCAGTATTGAGAGCTCAATAATACTTTTGCTCAACTCAGTAATCGAACTGCTTAATAATTTTACTTGAATAAAAAGGTTAGCTTAACTAATAGTCTACTAAACCTAACTGTATTGTTGTCATTAACTAGTCGTGTCTAACTGTTAAAGAACTATTTCAATTTTGCGTCCACCCCTACTGTTCCCGCGGGTGTCGTATACCCGACTAAGGCACTACACATTAGACAGAGACCGTGCAGCAGCGCTCTCTGATAAACCTGGACCTTACTGATAATACTGCGACCTCCAACCCGCCTGCCTGCGGAGATTATGACAAACCCTCTTATGTAGAGGAGACTCATAGTGCAGCAGTGGACTGTCACTGATTGTCAGGCTACATGACGAGATTAGTCAGAATATCCACGCTTGATAGTCTCGTTAGAGATCGCAGTATAAAAGGTTCAGGTTTATCAGAGAGCGCTGCTGCACGGTCTCTGTCTAACGTGTAGTGCCTTAGTCGGGTATACGACACCCGCGTGAAGAGTGGCGGTGGTGACAAACGTTCTACTCTGCCGTCACCACGGCGTGTGTCAGTTACAATAAATGACTGATTTTTTTGATCCCCGCTGCTATAAAACTTGGACATTTACACTGCAAACATTATGCTGAAGGAATATAACTCTTATAGATATGTAGTTATGGCGACACAACATGACAAATGACAGTAGATGTTCTATCGCATAATCTATCTATATATCTTTATCTATATAATTCTTCTGTGAGTGTGTATGTCACAGATTCCGCCGCCCATGGACACCCGCAACACCAGAGGAATCACAGGTGCGTTGCCGGCCTTTCAAAAAGGAGTACGCTCTTTTCTTGAAGGTTTGAAGGTCGTATCGGTTCGTGTATACCGCCGCCGACAGATCATTCCACAGTGTCGCTGTGCGAGGCAGGAAGATACGAGAGAGACATACAGTAGTGGCTGCCGACCATCTATATGATGGGGATGGATGTACTGTCGTCTAGTGTATCACTTTATATATCTATAAAGGTTATATTCCCACAGCAATATAATGCAGATAATATGTCCTTTCTCACTTGCAGTTAGACAAACCATTTGAATCGTTACTACACGAACTTATTCGAAACTAGCTCCTGCCCGCGTCCCCGTACGAAGCGGCTGAAGGGATCGCGACGAAATTTGGAACAAGGATAGATCAACGTCTGGAATACCGCATAGGCTACTTTTTATCCCACGGGAACTTGGACATAGCCGCTGACAGAAGGTAGTACGATAAACAACAGATTTTCACCTGATGGAAAGCAATCGGCGCCGCTATCGACACCCGGAACACTAAAGGAGGTACTAGTGCGTTGCCGGCCTTTTGTACAACCTCACTCATATTGCGATACGAAGCGTAGTTTCAGTATATTTCCGTGTAGTAACGACACATTATGATCTAGTCTGTGTGTAGATTACGTCCTAGAATCCTTCCTGGTAGGCTTTGGAGTCGAGTCTCGCCTGAAGTAACTCTAGCTGTCGCCGCGCCTCGCATTGTGGGAAGTTGTTGAGTTCGTAGTACTGTGGAGCTATCTTTAGGAGCCATTCCGCTGTAAAACATAAACATATATTAGTGTGGGTGGGACATGTATGTGATGTCAGTGAAATGTATCCGGTAGATGTTACATGTATAGTGATATACTCACGTTTAATGTCCGTGACAGTCCGTATGTAGTTCTTGGTGGTGAGCACGAACTCGTTGTATATGACCCAGTCGGGCTTGTGGTCGAGGCACGTGCTGGGGTGCAGCTGCACGACCTGGTTGTCCTTCACCGTCAGGTAGTGGCCGGTGCGCTCCAGGTGGGCGACCTTCAATGGACGAGAACATTAGCATTTTTAATAATGATCAGGGACACTAAATTAAGTAAACATCGCGGGTCAATGACGTGAAATACTGAGAAACCCACTATAAACAATTTTGAAGGGACTACTACTAATAAGAAGTAACATAGGCTACTTTTATTTTGGAAAATTGAAACAACACAAAAGTTACGTTCTAAAATTAATATTCTACGCGGAAAAAGTTGCGGGGAACAGCGTCTTTAGAACAAATAAACAAGTATTGTATGTTACCTGCATGAAGAATCCATTAACTAGAGCTTTCCTTATATTGATATAGTAGTCCTTGCTTGTGAACTCCGTACTCGTCCTCTTCAAGTTAAACCTGAAACATACAACATATTCTTTTTTAAAACCGTTGTCCCAAACTAGGATCGTCTCACATGTCGTGGGTACGTTTATACACATATTACCCACCCTCCCTAGTCTTCCCAATTCTGAATTTGAGGATTCCAACAATCCTCAAAAGACTCGGGGATTGGGAAGACTGGGGAACCCTCCTCCCCAGTCTCAGGGTAATTGGGTCTCCGGTAACCTCATACACACGACGAAACACAATGCTATGGTTGTTTCACTATGGTTTTCTGTTGGTGGTATCACTCCGGTCGAGCAGGCCCAGCAGAGCTGAAGCATGGCTCTCCCACACTTGAAAATATAGATAGTCCAGTAGACTGTGTAAATATATAAAATAGACTAGCAAACCCGGCGAACTCTGTTTTGCCACCAGATGGCTTCGTTTTATGTAACATTTCGTTTGGTTATTAAAAGATGAAGAAATATTTTTTTTTGTTTTATATTCTATAAACCTCACGGAGCCCGAGACCTTTCCAACGAATGCAAAACCGTGGAAATCGGTTCGTGCTTTCTGGAGTTATAGCGTCAGGAAGGAAAAGCCGACTTATTTTTATATAGTAGATTATGTAGACTATTACGGCTACTGGCTTGTATGTTAAAAGGGACATTGTTTAATATGATAAATTAACTTATTTTATTTAACTGTAAATAGTATTTGATGACAGCGTTTATAATTGACATTCTTTAGCAAAATAAAATATTTGACTTCATACTTGTATTGGACTCCGACTCGAATTTAATTGAATTATATTGTGAATGTTATTGAATGGGGATGATGACAGGGTATGAAAATTAAAAATATAATTAGTCCGTAAGTTAGGTAATGAAAAAATATTAGAAATTCGTCGACGACGCCAAAAGAATTAAAAAGCCTATGAGTCTATATCACTCTCTAGCCTCCTATATCCAGCCATAAAAATAGTAGCCGCGGAGTGCTTAACGGGTTGCCAGGGCTCCGGCTCAAAGTGCAGGAGTAGGAATGGTGTTGTTTTTAGTCAGTAAGCGTCTGACGCTCCCTATCGCCTCACCCGGGCGGGAGAAGTCATTAGATGATTTTCCCCCTTCCAAAAAAAAAAAAGCCTTAAATATAGTAGGTAACTATGATCAAAATGATAAATGCGATAGTTTTTGTGTATGTTTGTTACTGAATGGGGATGATGACAGGGTATGAAAATTAAAAATATAATTAGTCCGTAAGTTAGGTAATAAAAAAATATTAGACACGTATTTTTTTATTTTGTCGTATAATAAAACAATACTTAGATAAAACGAATCTAAGTTTAGGAGTGGGTGCTAAAACGTCATTTCTTAGTATAAAATGTACTGAGAAGTGACGTCACGCGACATTTCAAATCAATATATCTTCGAAACTATTCGTTTCTGTGAGAAAATAAAAAATACGTGTCTAATGTTTTTAAAAAATCTATCAGACGGACATTAAAATAAAAATTAGTCGTCTACCCTAACCATTATTTTCCTTTTCTAAATGTACTTAACTTCACATGCCCTAAGCAGGCTAAATAGAATATAAGAACAAAGGATGTAACATAAAAACCATCAAATGTAATAACGCTATTTAAATGTGAATAAATGAATTTTGAATGTTTGAATTTTTGACACCAACCTATCCATGATCCTGCTGAGTTGTTGACGGACATTGTCTCCGGACTTCAGTGAGCGGTAGTTGATGAAGTTGTCATAGCACCAGTGTGGGTCTTCCATATCTGGAAAAAAACGAATACATAAGACAACTAGATTTTGAAGAGTGTTTTGTAACTAAAATATGGCAAAAAATATGTAAATGTCGACCTAAAAAATCATACCGAAGGACTCTGTACCCAAGAGATAAATCTTATACTAATCTATAAAGCGGTTTGTTTTTTGTTTGTTTGTTTAAACGAAATTGAAAAGTGACATACATAATATGCATTTACTTGGTTTTTACACAAAATGAGCTTCCTTTGAAATAAATATGGCCTTTTTTGAGTGGGGAGAATCGTCCTAAGCGTCTCTCGCCATGGGCGAGGCGGGAGGGAGTGTCAGACTCTTCGTTTTGAAGCCCCTATTTTTAACTTTCTTTTCTTACACAATCATTTGTTTTATAATTCCACTAGCTACTTGCGCGCGGTTTCACACGCTCTGCTTAGCTCGTCGTAGCGTAATGTTTTATAGCCTATAGCCGTCCTCGATAAATGCGCTATCCAACACGAAAAGAATTATTTAAATCAGACTTGTAGTTACAGAGATTAGCGCGTTCAAACAAACAAACAAAAAAACAAACTCTTCCGCTTTATATAATAGTATAATATATAAGATTAAATGGATATACTGACTCTGTTTAAATGCATGGTATACGTTGAGCAGCGTGAGATGGTCTCCATCGATGTGTGCGAACCTCATCTTGGCCTCGTCCGCCGCCTTGCGAGCCTCGTTCGGACGCACGAAGCATTGTTGGACTGGAATCATGGTTATTTATTTTAATTTCAATTATAATATAACATAACATTACGTCTTTTATCCCCGAAGGGGTAGGCAGAGGTGGACATTACGGCACTTAATGCCTCTGTATAATGGTAACACTATTTACACTTTTCACTATTTATATTATGAGTCCCATGTAATAGGGGGTAAACCTGACCATTTCCGGACTCAGTGCTACTAATGAGATTTTTTTTTAAAAACCCAGTAACTTACTTAGCCCGACCCGGGAATCGAACCCGAGACCCCTAGCCGCCGCAATCGCACTTGCGACCACTCGGCCAACGAGGCAGTCTATATTGTGTCAGTTATATACTCCTATATTGTGTCCTTGTCTTTAGTCATTAGTCCGACGTCTCGCATAGTCAATTATAATGTACAATACCTGACAACATAGCAGTGATAGATAAGATCTCATTGGAACAGTTATGGTTGCAGCTGGCGATCAACATCTTGGCGAGCTGAGGGTCCAGGGGGAACTCCGCCATCACCGCGCCCAGGTCTGTGAGGTTGCCATCGTCGTCTGGAAGGAGAAGACATGAGAATTAATGTAGCTGTAAAATAAATGTTGCAAGGACCTGGATGGATAAAATAGACCATTTTTTTTAAGGCGGGAGAATCATCCAATGGCTTCTCCCGCCTGGGTGAGGCGAGAAGCCGACGTTTGACCACTACCTCGCCTGGTGTCAAGCGATGATTCGGTCTACGATGGTGTGTCAGACTCTTACTGACTAAAAACCACTCCGTTCCTACATTTCCATCATTCCACTTCCACCATCTGTGGTGGTCTGATAAATCCTTGAGACGCGCGCGGAACGCAACTCGCCGTACGCTTGGGGAAACCCGTAGCTTGATAGTCGCATTAGCTAATATTTGACCAACGGCGGAAACTGACTGAGTGAATAAACAGGGGTCTTCCCCGAATACAAACAACAAATATTATGTTAATCCCCGACATGATAAAAGATTGAAATGTACTCATATTACAACTACTTTGTCCGTTATCTAGACGATGATTACACACATAACGGAATGAATTAATGAGACATACAATATTTGCAGTAATTTACTCATAAAGGTATGATGACTAAATAAATTGTAAAATTCACAAAGTCACAGTCAAAGCATTTATTTCAATTAAACCATAGTTTGGTACTTTTGAAACGTCAACAAATACAAAATAACTAATAGTCTGTCAGTCAGTCCGTCAGTGAAACTAGGTGAAGCTAGGTGCTCATTCCAAAAAGTAGATTCGAATGGAGAAGAACGAGCAAGAAACTCCATTCGTTATTCTTTTTAAAAAAGTATGTTCTACAATGTCTCTGATACATATTTTAATACTGTACGCATATGTAAGAACAATGCAAAGACACGCTTGACGCATTATACTAATAATTTACTAAAATAAAAAAAATAAAAATGTAAAGTCTAAGATGGTGCTCACATATGCATATTGCATACTGACAATCCGACAAAAATACTTTAGAAAATCAGAACATTGCAATCTCAGGAATCCGAAAGTCGAATATTTGTAACATAACATAAGATCACGTCTTTTATCCCCGAAGGGGTACGCAGAGGTGCACATTATGCCACTGCACAATGTAACACCCACTTTTCACTATTTATTAATAAAATAATATGTTAATATGTATTAGTAAAACAACATACCCAGTGCAGCCAAGTAGTTTAGTAGCTCGAGTGCTCTCATCAGCGTCTCGGGCGCGGGGGGGTCCATAAAATCGAAGTGCACCAAGTCGTCTATCCCGAGTTTTTTCAACTGCAAAACTACAGATCCTAAGTTTGATCTGCAACGGCAATTGGGCGTGATGTTAGAGAGCTGTGACTTCTCGGGGTCTTGAGTGGGGTCATTTCATCTCTATAAACATATTACTGTTAAAGGACCGCGATTTTTAAAATGTTTGTTAAAGAATTCAAGTGTTTAAAGTTTTTGGGGTCTATAGACATATTTTTGGGGTCAAATTGCAAAATTGTTAAGGACTAAACACCGTACTCTGCCATTTAATGGCTACTTAACCCAGTCTGTAGCAATTGTTATCAGAACAAAATCGTTACTAAAGACTTGTTAAGTACAACAGCAAATATCAAATTTAAGAACCAGAATTGGGGGGTCATTAGTCACAAAAATTAAAACAGAACGACCCCCAGAGAAGAGAAAATTAATAAAAAAAATCGTATACCACCAATCACCTTAAAATTTCCGGATAAGTATTGTCTTGCATTTCATTTTTGTACGCTTTCTCTGTATACAGTCTGAAGCATTTACCCGGTCGGGTCCTACCGGCGCGGCCCGCCCTCTGTTGGGCGGACGCCTTACTAATTGGCGACACAAGGAGAGACTCGACACGAATACGAGGATTATAGACCTTTTGCTTAGCAAAACCAGGGTCTATCACGAACACCACGCCATCTATAGTCAGCGACGTCTCAGCAATGTTAGTAGACACTACTACTTTCCGTCCGATAGCTCCGTTTGCACGATTAGGCGGCGCTGGCTCGAAAATCCTCTGTTGTAAGTTAGGAGGTAGCGTAGAGTATAAGGGTATACACTTCAACTCCCCAGCATCAGGACCTAAATTATCAATTTCCCTCTTGATTCTCTTACAAGCATCCTCAATCTCCTCCTGTCCAGTCAAAAACAGCAAAATGTCTCCGGCAATCTCTTCACAGATGTGTATTTGTATGACAGTGCGGATAGCTGCTTCTAGGTAATCTCTTTCAGGCTGTGGTGTGTAGAATATTTCTACGGGATGAGTTCTACCAGGGACATTCATTAACGGCGCATTGTCGAAGTATTGTTGGAACTTGCCAGCGTCTAATGTAGCAGACATGATGACTAGTTTAAGGTCGGCCCTCTGTTTTATAACCTCTTTTAGGACTCCCATGAGGATATCTGTAGCCAAAGTCCTCTCGTGAGCCTCGTCAAGGAGTATAACTCTGTACTGTTCCAGCATGGGATCCGACATCGCTTCTCTTAGCAACATACCGTCCGTCATGTACTTTAGTATGGTTTGTGGTCCGGAACAATCCTCAAAACGGATGCTGTAACCGACTTGCTGGCCCAGTGCTACGTCCATTTCTTCAGCGACTCTTTGAGCTACTGACATGGCGGCCACTCTTCTCGGTTGTGTACAGGCTACGCCTTTGGATTTGCCTGCTGTAACGGCAGCGAATTCGACCGACCATTGCGGTATCTGTGTGGTTTTGCCCGAGCCAGTCTCACCGACTAGGACAACACATTGATGGGTGTTTAGGAGTCTCATGAAATCGTTTTTGTATTCCCATACTGGGAGGCCGAGACGTCGGCGGAGGAGCTCGTGGTAGCGCTGGGAGTGGGGTAAACCTGGAACAAAGAAAATCAGGAATAACTAATTTATTCTTATCTAATTATCTTATACTATCTGAAAAGATTGTTTGTGTGTTTGAACGCGCTAATCTCAGGAACTACAGGTCGAATTTGAAAAAATATTTTAATGTTGAATAGTGCATTTCTAGACGAAGGCTATACGCTATTAACATCACGCACGATCAACAGGCATCAAGCAGAGCGGGTGAGGTCGCGCGGAAGTAGCTAGTTTTTTTTAAAATGGTCAAAACTTGAATTGGGATTTTCAGTTCTATCGCAAATTAGTCTGCTCTCAAGATACTGAATAATAGCCTTAGAATGCAACACAATCTTATGATCATTTAAATCCATCGACTTAGGAGCCGTTCAAGTATTACGTAAACACCATGGGAGGGTAGGGGGTGGGGTGTCTCTATTTTGTTTATTTTGGATGATATGGGGGGTGTCTAGATGATGATTACGTCATCGGTAGTTATTCACTTTTTTACATGAATGGGAACCCTCATATTTAAATTATAAATTACAAGCAAAGACCGACAAAGAACTAGACATTATGGTATCTAAGAGAATATTAAAATTACAATATAAAAAAAATATAATTTAAAATGTTTACGTAAGCAAAGGGGGAGGGGGTAAGACCTTTGCTTACTCTTGCTGACAGGGGGAATGGGGGGGGGGGGTAAATAATTGTAAAAAATCAGTTTACGTAATATTTAAGTGGCCCCTTACAGCTGATTTATGACATAAGTTCTATGTAGTTTCTATGTGTGAAAAACCATAATCGGTCTTCGAAGTTCAAAACTGCTAGGCTATTGTGTACTGGCTATTCTATTCTCGAACTTTCAGGTGAACTAGACCGCATTCTCGTCCGTCATTGGTCGAGAGTATTCCCAACAACCGTAGACTGCGTGGAGTTCACTCGGATCTTTCGGAGCATACCTAGCTTAGCCAGGCTTAGCTGATCTTTTTTTATGGGATAAGCCGGTAAACGAGCAGACGGATGGTAAGTAATCGGCGTCGCCCATGCACACCTGGAACACCAGAAGCGTTACAAGTGCGTTACCGGCCTTTTAGGATTAGGAATTTGGGGATTCAGGGATTGGGGAAAGGGAGGGGGGTAATTGGGCATCCTTCAATCTTCTTTCTTAAAGATCTTAACCATTCACTCCTTCACTCATTTTGGTTTATAGACAAATTTAAATAACATGTAGGAAATAAACTCACCAGTGAATGGGTTTACCCCCGGAGTGCTGGTAGCAGTAGGAGGCATGCTGGTGCCTAGTGTTGCCAGTGCAGACTCTGAGGACTCGCCACTACCGCCCGACTTGGCAGCCGCGGCTGCTTTCTCTTCCCTGGAGACAACAAATAATTGTGATGAATAACAGAAACTTAGATATGTAAATAAAATTTAGTTTCAACCAAAAACATTCTGTAAAAAGTCTTGATGGAGTCGCTTGTTCATCTCTAAAAAGTAATGAAATCTAGACAAAGTCGTGGTACGTCTTTTTTTAAGGGGGAAAATCATCGAATGACTGCTCCCGCCCGGGTGAGGCGGGAGGGAGTGTCAGACTCTTACTAACTAAAAACCACCTCGTTCCTTCTCCTGCACATCGAGCCGGAGCCCCAGTAACCCGTTAGGTTCTCCGCGACAACAGGGGTACACTATGGTCTGAAATAACACGTAGCCTACTGTTAATCCCGCAGAAGGGCAGGCGAAGCCGCTGGCAGAAGCTAGTTAACTACTACACTTAGTTAAACACAGATTTGCCAACCGAACAAGAAACAATTAAATAGAACTGTAATGAAAATAATTCGTCACAAGATGAAACAGTACAAGTGTAACTGAAGACTTAAAAAATTCTGAAACTTTTGCTTTCAAACTTCTGCGGAGGGAGGCCATATTGTAAAGAGTTTCATGGCATTTAAAATTAAATTGTGATTTACATAACGCATTTTTTTAAAGGAGGAAAATCATCGAATGACTGCTCCCGGCTGGATGAGGCGGGAGGGAGTGTCAGACTCTTACTGACTAAAAACCACCCCGTTCCTTCTCCTGCACGTCGAGCCGGAGCCCCGGTAACCCGTTAAGTTCTCCGCGACTTACATAACGCATAGGGGAATATTGTGCCTTTTAATTTACGACGGGGTGGGCAGAAGTGGCAGTGGAGGCTACCCTGTGACCCTATTAGAAGTAACACTTAGTTTAATATTTGTTTTCGGCTTATTCTTCACGTAATTATTTGACAGGCAATATATATTATATTACTAGCTACTTGCGCGCGGTTTCACCCGCTCTGCTCGGCTCCTATCGGTCGTAGCGCGATGTTTTATAGCCTATAGCCATCCTCGATAAATGGGCTATCCAACACAAAAAGAGTTATTCAATTCAATCGATCAAATCAATCGAACGGAGATTAGCGCGTTTAAACAAACAAACAAAAAAAATAAAAACTGCGTTTAAAAAACCGACTTCAAAAAACCAAAAACTAATAACAAACAAAAAGTCAAAACTAAAAAGCAAAAAATAACTATTATTAGTACTTATAGGTTACCCCCCACTGATAGGTAACAAGTCGGTGCCATAATTTTCGAAAGTTCCCCTCGGTTTCCCTAGGATCCCATCATCAGAACCTGACTTCATGAAAATGGGACCATCTCGGGAGTATACCCTTTCAAACAAAACAAGAATTTTTGAAATCGTTTCACAAATGGCGGAGTACTGCGCGAACAAAAAAAAAAAAAAAAAACAATCAGCCGAACATAGTACCTCCTCCTTTTTTTGAAGTCGCTAAAAACAAACTCTTCATCTTTATAATATTAGTATAAATAACTTTCGTGGGACATACTAAATTAATTATTATGTTTTCGCCGTACTCACGTAAATGACGAGGAACTCGACTGGTTTCAAGCCATGCGCTAGAGGCTGATGCCATGATATTCATGAACAGCATTCCGCGACCCGCGAGCCCGACTGTCACAGTGCTGCTGGCAGTAATAGCAGCGTGACAGTCACCGGGTCGAGCCTCTATCATGGTTTGAAACTAACCGACTTCCTCGTCAGAGGTTGACATTATCAAATTAACCTTTTGAGCGCCGATGTCACATATAAGTGACAAGTGAAAACTGTCCCTGGACGCCAACGACACAAATACATGACAGAAAAAGCGGAACCGGAAACACGAAATCAACAATTTGATTCCCTATTGGAATCCCTATTTCTTCCGTAGAAATTTGCGCGGAATTTGTGGCTTGGCGTTGAGGGCAGGTTCATGTGTTTTTGCTCTGGCGTTCAAAAGGTTAATGTATTTCCTCTCGACACATCAATTTACATTTCCACCATATAATCAAATCAAACCATGTCTTCCATGATAATATTATTATAATAAAACTGAATGGTCTTGTCGAGTTTATTATCGAATTCATCATACATTTGCAAGCTCCGATTAAAACAATAGCCAAGTGCTCACGTTTCACTAAATATTCTACATGTATGTATAATACATGCCCTTTAATCACTGAAGGGGTAGGCAGAGGTGCATGTAACAACCTGGTTTTTGCCTGTTTATTTCCATGAAATATAGGGTGAAGCTATTGCCTCTATGATTATTTTATTTTATGGAATAGAAGGCAGAGGAGCAAACGGATCACCTGATGGTAAGCGATCAGCGCCGCCCATGGACACCCGCAACGCCAGAGGAGTCACAGGCGCGTTGCCGGCCTTTTAAAAAGGAATACGATCTTTTCTTGAAGGTTTGAAGGTCGTATCGATTCGGAAATACCACCGACGACAGATCAATGTTTTTATAAAAAGGACCACTGAATTTAAATACCATGTCTCATCACAATCAGCCTGTAAATATCGCAGTGTAAAAAAGGTGGCTTCTCATACAGAGAAGGAATAAGCATCAATCACTATGCTTGCTCAAGATGGATTGGCTATTTCAAACTCATAACATAACATAACATCACGTCTTTTATCACCAAAGGAGTAGGCAAAGGAATACATTATGCCACTGTACAATGTAACACCCACTTTTCACTATTTATGTTATGAGTCCCATGTAATAGGGGGTGAGCCTATACAATATATATAATTATATAGAAGTTAAAAGCCCAGGTTTCCTCACGATGTTTTCCTTCACAGTAATGTCTGTGTCGGTGATGGCTAAATTGTGTTCGGAAGCACATTTAACTTAGAAAATGTCACATTACTACATATCATGAAATACCATGAAATACTGTATTTGCTAAAGAATACTTATTCATGGTTGTATTAACAAATATGAGGCAATAATTTATCAAAAATAAGGTTGACTAATCAAATAAGTACATGTAATTCTTTTTCAATCTCTTTGACTGGATTTAGGTTTGCATTGTTCTCACACAATCGAATCAATAAAACTATGTAACTAGAGAATTGTATTGTAAACCCGATTGAAAAAGAGTAACCTATGGAGTTTCTTGCTCATTCTTCTACATAGGAATCTACACCTTGGAATGAGCAACTAGCTTCACTTCGAAATTTTTGTTGTTGACGTTCAAAAGTGCCATCCTGATCTAATTGAAATAAATGATTTTGACTTTGACTTTAATTGCATATAAAGATTATTTAGACACCACTGACAAACGGTGAAGGAAAACATCTTGAGGAAACCTGCGCTTATAATTTCCAGTTTGAAATTGCCAACCCGTATTGGAGAGTCGTACAGGCCCAGAGGTCTAAGACTCCTGATTCTCATGTCTAAGGATGCAGATTCGAAACCTACCAACAGCAAGTACCAATGTGACTTTTTCCGAGTTATATGTACTTTCTAAGATTACTTAGAACCCACTGACAGATTGTGAAGGAAAACATTGTGAGGAAACCTAAGCTTATAATTTCTAATTATAAGTTTGAAATTGCCAACCTGTTTTGAGCAAGCATGGTGATTAATGAATGAATGATCAAACCTTTCCTGTGTGAGCAGAGGCCTTGGCTGGGCAGCAGTGGGCACTTCGATGATGACGAATTTTAACCAAAATAATTTATAATTTTCTGTCTGTAAGTGCAACACTAATGAAAATATTACATCACGCCTTTTATCCCCGAAGGGGTAGGCAGAGGTGCACCTTATGCCACTGTACAGTGTAACACCTACTTTTCACTATTTATGTTATGAGTTCCATGTAATAGGGGGTGAGAATAATGAAAATATTTAAATTGAAATAGAAACCTGTTGATCAATATTTATCTATTAGCCTGTTTCGTGTGAACCAAAACACTGACACACATTGATATTATTATAATTTACAAATATAAACACAAAACTTACTGATTTATGGTAATTTAGCCGCTTTTGATATTATTTTTCACTTAAACACGGTTTATTTTTAATATTTATGATGCTACTGGCCTTCTTCGTACAAAAAGGTCGTCGGGCAGTGGAATTTCTTGAAATTAGGTATTTCAGGCATGCGCGTTACAAACTACGCCGATGTGTATAGATCTACATCAAAACTCCTGAATTATTTAGTACGTAGCCCACGCAATTTTTATCGCGATTTATGGCATTACAGTGTTTAACTGTTTAAAACAAGAGAATAGCGAGGGAACAAGATAAACACATGCTTCTGGACCGGTATAGTCTACAAAATATGTACAATTTACGAAAACTCTTAGGGAGTCTGCACTACAAGTGATTTTTGGGCTTTATGTATATTTTATGGATAATTTAAATACGATTGTATGTATACTGATCTATAAGGGGTTTAATTTAATTAAATAATTCATTAGAATGAGACAAACAAAGGCATGTAAACGTAAATTAAAGCATGGCATAACAAATGTGTAAAAACGTGCTACTAACCTTTTCTTTTTGATAAAGGGATCCATCACTTCAATACGACGTTTAGACATTTCTAATTACAACACATAAAACACGAAAATAAATAAAATTAACAGAAAATTCTTCCAATTTTCCAATAATTTTCAACATCCAACAAGATGGCGACTTCGCAGCTATGAAACAAAAAAAGTTGGAGTATTTGTTTATGGTAGTAATTTACTGGGTTGCAACCTGCTAAAGAAGTAATTTTTTTTATGATTTATTTTTTCAATATTCGTTTATTTATTTATTTAAACGTCCGTTTATAAGTTTAAAATTCTGTTAATTTATTTCAGAATTTTTATTTAATATTACTATTAGATAACACGCGTTCTTGAAAACTAATTTTTTGTTTAGGCATAATGTTCATTTCCTTGGCTTATCTTGACATTTCATTTAAAAAACCAAAACCGGTTCGTTTCACGCATTGAAAGAATATCCTTAATCGGTTAATCTTTTAACAAAATCTTAATTAACAAACATTATAAGACCTTCTTCTAAATCATATCAAGTATTCAAAATTTTCTAAGTAAAATTTTAAGTGGTTTAAGTTTTACATTTTCATTTTATTTTACTGAAGGTAAAAGACACGTTTGACACAAATCGTGCGAAACGAAATGGAATCAAACAAAAATGTCAGAATGTCAGACAAAATGCACGAACTGCGTATTTTGTTGTGCTAATTTCAGTCTATAATTAAAAATTATGTTTGTAAATGTGTAAATAATTTTCAAATCTCTTTTTGTTTTATTTATTGAACAAATTCTGTGATTTTGATCGAACATTTTAGTGTGGATGTGAAGTGTAAATATAATGTACGAACGAGCATCGATTCTTTGTGATTTGTTATAGAAATATTTCACAAAAGATTACAAACATCGAACTTAACCCACCAAACAAACATAGACGTGAGTATTTTGTGCTTTCATGAAAGAAAATCACACGTTTAATTTTGTATTGTTGTCAAAATTCAAGATGGCGGAGGGATTACCTTTTATTTATATTATTTTGTTTATTTCTCCATCTACCAGTCATACGATTCGATGTACACGTTTTGTTGGTCCTTTAAATAGCTGCAATAAGTCTTGGAGATTAATTTTAACCGACTTTGAAAAGAGGTCGTATAAGGTTATTGAACTTGTTGAAACCTGTCCAAGTTTGAGACAAGTTAAGAAAAAAAAATAACTGAAAAACGTTTCCGATCACTTTTTGTGGACTAAAAAAACTTTAATTAGCATTCAGAATAGTTATAAGTAATTAATTTAATTAGCTTTTAATTGATTAATAGGTATCAAAAATGTTAAAAATGTCTAAGTACCTAGATGATTAATAATATTCTTGAAATTACGCGTTCTAAGTATGTAGGTACTGAGTCAACTTGCACTTAGACATAAGAGTTTATTTCCTATACTGACTAGGTAGGCCCAAGAAATATCATTTCCTTTAGTCATCCTCTTGTAAAATAGAAATTGTTTTTTGGTTCATCCATAAAATATTTTCTGTATGTTTAATTGCAAACTTATAAGATTTAAACTGACTTGAAGGTTTTTAGTTTGATCTCTATGTATGTTTGTCTGTGATTATCTCACAGTTAGCTGAACCAATTGTGATGCGGTTTTTAGAAAGTTTTAAGTGAAGTTGGTATCGAAGAATTAGCTCTAGATATGCCAAAATAAACATATCGACTTATACCTCTGCCTATCCCGTCAGATAATGAAACAACTTACCTGATTTGTGAGATAATAATTGCATAGTAAAAATAATTTTCCACAGACACTCTTTTCAATTGTGTTATTAATAAAAATAAATAAGTACCTACAAGATAATGGTGCTATTTGTGGCTATCACGATAATTGATTAAGATATTAAAAATAAATAAAGTAAAATATGTTTTATTGATAGTAGAAGGTTCATAGTTACTGCCTACCACTTATTAGATAAAAGGAGTGATTATACTCCTGTATGTTGTAAACCAAAGCTCTATACTGTGTTTGTTTGTTAGTGATAATCTCAAAAACTGCTAAACAGATTTTAATTTGCCAATGGATTGTAGTTCTTGAGTAAGGTCTTGTATAATTTTTGTGGATTTTACTTAGCACAATATAGTGGGTAAACTGCTTTATGTATAGTATGAGTACAAAACCTTATAACAAATCCCTAAAGTATAAATGAGGATTATGTTGCTCTGTAGTTTCTGTATATCGTGGAATTAAAGTGTTTAAGGATGTACTGATGTAATCCGATTAAGAATACATTTTTGACTATCCCTATTTGATTAAAAGACTATGAATTTGACAGTTATTAGCAGCATTTTCGGATAAATATATAACTTAGTAAAATAAAAAAATAAACAAAACAAAAAAAAATATAGTGTAACATGGTGCTCACATATGCATACTGACAATCCATAAAAATAGTGCTTCTATACAAGAAAACAGAAACTCTTTGTTTCAATAAAGAAAGAAATGCTTGATGCCATAAGGAAACTAGATAGTCTACATTAGAATGAAAGTATTAAATTACCTACTATTGGAATCTAACTACTGACTACATTTGAGTATTGTCCAGTGGAGCCGAACCAACATGCTGCCAAGCATTCTTATCTTCAAGATAATCTGTCAGTCTACCCCCCGAAGGATACGAGGCCCTGAGCACGGTCTCCGAGTGCCCTTATAGTACTGCATGTGTCGCGGAGAACCTAACGGGTAACCGGGGCTCCGGCTCGACGTGTAGGAGAAGGAACGGGGTGGTTTTTAGTCAGTAAGAGTCTGACACTGCCTCTCGCCTCACCCAGGTGGGAGCAGTCATTCGATGATTTTCCCCCCTTAAAAAAAAAATAGTACTGCCTGTATAACCCCTGCCCCTAGAGTCTAGGGCATCCGGTTATACAGGGTCTAGACCCTTGTGTAGTTTGCGAAGGATAATAACGGCTCTGTACTCGCCTCTTTATGTGTACATGTACTTAATCTGTCTAAACCATATGTGACATATTTACTCAGTTAATTCTGTTGGGCTGACAACAAATTGTGACAATTAAAATCAATTAGAATGTCTCGTATTAATTTTAATGGTTGATTCAGAGCAGCTAAGAATAAACTTGCATGGGAGCTGATGAATTTAATGTATGAGTTGTATGTATACATTGTTATGTCTTTTAATCCGCAAAGGGATAGGATTGAAGCTTATAATTTTATATGTAAGTCCAAGGCAATAGGCCTATTGCTATATAAAATTGAAAGTTGCTAAAAGTACCGGAGGCCCAATTACCCTTCCCTTCCCCAATCTCCCCAATTCCTGAATCCCCAATGATCCTCAAACTCCTAATACCCAAAAGGCCGGTAACGCACTTGTAACGCCTCTGGTGTTCCAGTTGTCCATGGGCGACGCCGATTAGGTGATCTGTCTGCTCGTTTACGGACTTATGCCATTAAAATGGGTCCAATGATACTTTACCTAACTCAAGAATCGAATCCGAGACCCTCGGACTTATGAACCAAAAAGAAGCAGATTCGACATATTGCTCTGCTAAATAAAAAAAATATTGAATACACATTCGTGATTTGACCACCTTTTCATAAATAGGGTAGGGAGGAGGAGGGTAGGCAGAGGTGCACATTACGGGGTATTCCACTTTGCGCACCTAAATGAAGCGCACCCAGACGAAGCGCACCTAAAGTATTCCACTTTGCGCACCTGTAGGTGCGCTTAAAATATAAATTTTAAATAAATAGTTTTTCTATTCCACGAAGCGCACCTACGAATATCACTCGCATAGTGCGGAGACCAAGAAATAAAAATATCGATATAAGAACATATTTATTATTTAAAAGACTAACTTAAATATCTAACATCTGTCAGTTTCATTATAATAATGTGACACAATATTGATATTTGTCCATGTTTTTATTGTAATTATGAAACAATCTGTGATTTTTTATGTTAAAGCAGAGTATTTTTATTGTTCACTAAACATGTAGCTATAAGAAAACTTCAACAGATCTTTATGTAAAACCATATAATTACAATGTTTTTCATATTTGTCCATGTTTTTATTGTAATTATGAAACAATCTGTGATTTTAAATAGTAAGATTACAAAATCAAAATGAAAAATAATGTGTCACATTATTATAATGAAACTGACAGATGTTAGATATTTAAGTTAGTCTTTTAAATAATAAATATGTTCTTATATCGATATTTTTATTTCTTAGTCTCCGCACTATGCGAGTGATATTCGTAGGTGCGCTTCGTGGAATAGAAAAACTATTTATTTAAAATTTTTATTTTAAGCGCACCTACAGGTGCGCAAAGTGGAATACTTTAGGTGCGCTTCGTCTGGGTGCGCTTCATTTAGGTGCGCAAAGTGGAATACCCCCACATTACGCCACTACAATGTAACACCCACTTTTCACTATTTATGTTATGAGTCCCATGTAATAGGGGGTGAGCCTATTGCCATATACCGGGCACAATTCCAGACTTCGTGCTACTACTGAGATTTTTTAAAAAACCCAATAATACTTTGCTCAACCCGGGAATCGAACCCGAGACCCTTTGCCCGGCAGTCGCACTTGCGACCACTCGGCCAACGAGGCAGTACGAGGTACCTACTTCTTAGAACTAAATAGTAGTGTATTTCGTTATAAAATTATCACAGATGTAGCTACCTATTTCGCAAAATGCACCTATTGTATATAGTTATAGTGCAAATTCCGCAACAGCCACACCTATGACCTCCATTTCTTATCGACATATCTATACAAATAATAAGAATGTAGTTCCATATGTTTATCTAACATCTGTTTGTGTGATTGTACATACATGTAACATCGATCGCCTCTGATTAGTCCACTGTCGGGACTATGGACGTTCTTTATACATACACTGACTTCCACCAGCGGCTTCGTCAACATTATCCAATGACTTCTCCCCGGTGAGGCGGGAGGGAGTGTCAGACTCTTACTGACTAAAAACCACCCCGTTCCTTCTCCTGCACGTCGAGCCGGAGCCCCGGTTACCCGTTAGGTTTTGCGCGGCTCCGAATCGGCATCAGCCCTACTGTGCCCCATCCGTGGTAGTCTGATGGTTTTTTTTATATTATCGATGCATTTTTCTCACATATGTAGAGAAGTAGTAAGCACACATGTAGATTCCTAGCTACTTGAAAAAGCGTCAAGGCAAAGCCAAGGTGGATCGCTAGTATGTGATTCATTCATTCACATTCAATGTATGACATTGTATCGCACAACATATTAACATTTCAAAAATATGGATGCAGGATGTCAATTTGTAAGTTAATGTTTGATTCTTGTTTTTTAACATTATGCAGCGGAGACTGCATATATGTATTGTAAGAGTGACTTGTATTGTCTGTTTGTCTTCTAAATATATAAATACTGTATACATCTTTACAAACTAGTTTCTGCCAGCGGGTTTGCCAGCGCCCCCGTAGGATAAAAAGTAGCCTATGTGTTATTATTACAGACTATAGTCTGCCCCTGTTCCGAATTTCAGTTGTCAGTATGCATATTATTATGTGAGCACCATGTTAGACTAAGATTTTTTGTTTTTTTTTTTTTGTTTTAGTAAGTTTTGTAATTAGTATAATGCGTCTAGCGTGTCTTTGCATTGTTCACACATATACGTACAGTATTGGAATATGTATCAGACACATTGTAGAACATACTTTTTTAAAAAGAGTAACGAATGGAGTTTCTTGCTCGTTCTTCTCCATTCGAATCTACATTTTGGAATGAGCACCTAGCTTCACCTAGGTTTACTAACGGACTGACTGATAGACTATTATTTATTTTGTATTTGTTGACGTTTCAAAAGTACCAAATTTTGATTTTGACATTGACTTCATCCCGATCCCTTCAACTGTTTTGACGTGAAGGAGTAACAACACATACAAGTTTAGCATTTATAACATTAGGAGGATAGCAATCAAATCACTTGCATGTTCGTTTTCGATATTTGCATTACCTACAATGCCTATCTTAAAAACCAATATCACTACTCGAGGCCTTTTTTTTAAGGGGGGAATATCATCGAATGACTGCTCCCGCCTGGGTGAGGCGGGAGGGAATGTTTAGTCAGACTCTTACTGACTAAAAACCACTCCGTTCCTTCTCCTGCACGTCGAGCCGGAGCCCCGGTTACCCGTTAGGTTCTCCGCGACTCCGAATCGGCATCGGCCCCATTTGGCCTCATCTGTGGTGGTCTGATGGCTCTTTGAGGCGCGCGCGGAACGCGACGCGCTGTACGCTCGGGTCTGTTTCTGGTCGGACGGGGAGCCACCCATGCTCGCCGTCCGCAGGCCCGCGCTTACGGTGGCCGGAGATCGTCCCGCGATCCCCGACGCCCGGTGTGTCCTTCGCGATGGCTGGGTTGCGAGGAGGCACCGCTTCGCTGCCTCACGCATCCCAGTCCCCCTCGCTCCGCATCATGACCTGCAATAGGTCCGGACGCCAGTGGTCGCCATCGCCGATCACTTCCTTGAGAGCATTCCGCTACCGTGTGTTCCACCGTGTCCGTGTGTCAGGGCGGTCCTCGCAGTGATGACACTCGGGCGTTTCCTCCCGCCCCATCAGACACAGGTACCTCCCGAAACTTCCATGTCCGGTGAGGACCTGCGTCAGGCGGTAGGTGAGGACGCCGTAGCGTGTCTCAAGCCACTCCTCAAACAGGGGACCGCTGCAATGGCAACGAGCCCAGCCCTCGGTTGCGACAGTCGTTGCTGCCATTCCGCTATGAGATCGCGCCGGAGCTTATCCCGCCACGCACTTAGCAATCAAATAACTTGCATGTTCGTTTTAAATATTTGCATTACAATGCCTATCTAAAAAACCAATATCACTACTCGAGGCCTTAATTTACCTCTCCAAAGGCCGGTAACCCACTTGTAGGTACTCTGTTGATTAATACTCGGATTGGTTTTACTTGTATTTATTAATATAAATTATGTGCAGAGCACACGACTTGTACACACCACAGAATGACGGGTAGACAGCGTTATTCTTGACACATTATAGTGAAGGGGCTACTGTAACATACTCCTCCAGTGTTCCAGGTGTCCATGAGCGGCGCCGATTGCTTACCATCAGGTGATCCGTCTGCTCGTTTACCGGCTTATCCCATAGAAACGGTTAAGGTTGTAGATCATACATACAAGTACAGTGTGGCAATTTTAGTCATTAGATTTTCGTATTTATATTTAAACAATGTAGGTATAGAGTAGAAATACTAATAAAAAAATAATATAAAAGGCTAGGTTGACCTGCCACCCACTCTACATCCATATTCATCGAAGCGTACCGGTTTAGAATACTTCAAAGATTATTTTCTAATCTGTATGACCTATATTTTGCCTAGTACATCTAGGGTCTCCACAGATAATCTATGACCTTCCTGTTTGTGAAGGTTATAACTATCAGCTAACATAGTGATTTAATCTGTTCGCTATTTCTAGATTATTTATAATTGACTGGAACAAACATGTGTTTAGAACTTGGTTAGACCATATAGACACGCTTTTGAACACTGGGCAGTGTTCACTAAGAATAATAGGATTTTCTCCTATGTAGTGAATACAAACATACAATTTCATATACACATGACGCGAAACATTTGTGAATGGTACAAAGAGTTGTTCCTTGCGTATTTCAAACCCGCTACACGTTGCGATCTTAAGGGATTACACATATAACACAGACCGTGCAGCAGCGCTCTCTGATAAACCTGGACCTTTTATACTGCGACCTCCAACTCGCCTGCCTGCGGAGATTGTGACAAACCCTCTTATGTAGAGGAGACTCATAGTGCAGCAGTGGACTGTCTCCTCAATGACGTATACGGGTAAAGTCGCTGGTTAAAGTTAGTGTTAGAGAAGATACAAATCTAGGCAATGTTTAACATATTTTTAACCTCAATTTACATACAAGAATGTATCATACAAAAGTATCTATTCAGAACATTGTTCATATATGCAGTTCATGTAATACTAGCGATCCGTCCTGGCTTCATACGTTCATTAATAGTATTTCTCTTCCCCTTTGGCTAAAGCTACTCCTTGAATCAGAGGGCTTACTCTTGAATCCAATTCGAGTGATCAACATTGGTATTGTGAAATTTCGTACTCTTAAGTTGCAACACTAGCGCCCATTGCATCCGGATATTAAATGAACTAAATGGTATTCAGTTTGGCTTTATATTCCGTACTCTGAATGCAATTTTAACAGCTACGACAGGGGTTGTTTAGCGTTGACATTGAATAATTATTGAGAGTTTATTGGATTGAAATTGCATTGATATTGAGGTTGGTTTCATGAGTAAGCACCCAGATGTGTTAAAAACCGCATCAAAATCCGTTGCGTAGTTTTCAAGATCTAAGCATACATAAGGATAGACGGAAAAAGGAAAATTGTTTTAGGTATCCTTCGCCTACATTCCCGTCGAATAAAAACTAGCCTACGTGTCATTCTAGATCATAATCTACCCCTATCCCTGTTCTAAATTTCATCCCGATCCCTCCAGCCATTTTGACGTGGTCGAGTGACAAACACACAATACGTATTTTTAATATTAGTCCTAGTATGTAGTGATTTATGTATACATGTATATTTGTGTTGCAGATGGTAGTTCGCCGGTCGAACTTTAAATGTTCAAGTTGATACAACAAGACGATGGGACAACAGACGTCTAGGAAGAGTAAGTTGTTTTATTTTTTATTATATATGTGTGGGGTTGTATGTGTGTATCCGAATACTTGGTGAAGTAATCCTATCTTATATACTATTATATAAAGCGGAAGAGTTTGTTCGTTTGTTTGAACGCGCTAATCTCCGTAACTACAAGTCTGATTTGAATAATTCTTTTTGTTTTTATAATAACTATCGTGAGACATACTAAATTAAGTAAAAACGCGGGTTACTCACGTGAATATACTGCGACTATACTGGTGACTATACTGGTGACTATACTGGTGACTATACTGGTGACTATACTGGTGACTATACTGGTGAATATACTGAAAGCGTTCTACATTTTATGAGCTTTTCTCAGTATATTCACGTGAGTAACCCGCGTTTTTACTTAATTCTTTTTGTGTTCGATAGCGCATTTATCGAGGATGGCTATAGGCTATAAAACATCTCGCTACGACTAATAGGAGCCGAGCAGAGCGGGTGAAACCCGGGCGGGTGAAAATATGGGATGAATCCTTCTTGTCAAGTATGGATACACACATACAATCCCACATATATGATATTACTAGCTACTTCCGCGCGGTTTCACACGTTCTGCTCAGCTCCTATTGGTCGTAGCGTGATGTTTTATAGCCTATAGCCATCCTCGATAAATGCGCTATCCAACACAAAAAGAATTATTCAAATCAGACTTGTAGTTATGGAGATTAGCGCGTTCAAACAAATAAACAAACTCTTCCGCTTTATATAATAGTATAGTGTAAGATTATACATATACACCCAGTATATGAAAGACGACGGCAAGCATGAGTGACTCGCCGCCCGACTAGAACCAGACCCGAGCGTACGTCGCGTCACGTCCCGCTTCCGCCTTAAAGAGCCCTCAGACCACCACATATGGGGTCCAGTAGGGCTGATGCCGATACGGAGCCGCGGAGGACTTAACGGGTTACCGGGGCTCCGGCTCGATGTGCAGGAGTAGGAAGGGGGTGGTGTTTAGTCAGTAAGAGTCAGTCAGTCAGTTGACATCCTCTCGTTATCCCAAGGCGGGAGGATACATAGGATGATTTTCCCCCATTAAAAAAAAATGAGCAAATAGGTTCACTATTAATTTTATTGTTGACGTTCAAAAGTGCCTTTCTGGTCTAATTGAAATAAATGATTTTGACTTTGACTTTCAATAGGATCAAAATAGGAGCGCGTTTCTTTTTTTTTTGTATATTAACGGTTTTATTTATATGACTAATTGGTACATTTGTTCGTTTTAGGCGGAGAGTGCACGTGCGGGTGCGGTGCGTGGGAGCGGCGCAGGTACGCGGAGTCTCCCAGTAGCGTGCATAGATACGTCAGCGCTGTCACTGACAGGTATGTATTCATTCTTTGTAACACGCTTGTATTAGGTCGACCTGTACCGTACTATGTAACACAATCTAAGACTATGAATTATGAATTACAACATCATAACTTCACGCCTTTTATCCCCGAAGGGGTAGGCAGAGGTGCACATTACGGCACTCAATGCAACTGTACAATGTAACACCCACTGTTTATGTTATGAGTCCGATGTAATAGGGGGTGAGTCTATTGCCATATACCGGGCACATTTCCAGAGTCCGTGCTACTACTGAGATTTTTAAAAACCCAGCAATATTTTGCCCGACCCGGGAATCGAACCCGAAACCCCTTGTCCGGTAGTCGCACTTGAGACCACTCGGCCAATGAGGCAGTCGCAATCTGAATTACACACACTTGTAATTGTTGTATCGTCGTGAAACTCGGCAGTTGTATGTAGATTAGACGACAATACAATATTATGGCGCCGTCGAGCTGGTTTGATGGTGGAATTGGAAGGTGGCTGATGGGATCTTGAGCTACTAGTGAACATATCTAGTTTGGGCTCGTTGGTTAGGTCCATTTCTCCAGATGACGATAATAATAATGATTAAAAGCGTGACATTAGTATGTCAGGACATAAATATAATTATGTGTGAATGTATGTATGTGTGTGAAGTGGAATCTACCTAAATTTGGAAGCAAATATCTTCAACCGATTGAGCTAAAATTTTATATAGCAACTAGCGGACCCGACAGACGTTGTCCTTCAAAAGCGCCATCTGCCGGGCTGATTTGTGAATCTAAACCATCAGGGGTGCCATCGCGAAGGACACACCGGGCGTCGGGGATCGCGGGACGATCTCCGGCCACCGTAAGCGCGGGCCTGCGGACGGCGAGCATGGGTGGCTCCCCGTCCGACCAGAAACAGACCCGAGCGTACGGCGCGTCGCGTTCCGCGCGCGCCTCAAAGAGCCATCAGACCACCACAGATGGGGCCCAATAGGCCCGATGCCGATTCGGAGTCGCGGAGAACCTACCGGGACCGATTTTGATGAATTTTTTTGTGTGTGTTCAAGGGGATCTGGGAATGGTTTAGATTCACAAATCAGCCTGACAGATGGCGCTGCAGTCGGGTCTAGGTTATAATTTGAATGAATTTTTGTTTATACATTCAAGTGGATATGCAGGACAACGTCTGTCGGGTCCGCTTGTAAAGATATAATAAAGATTTAGTTTGCGTGACAATAAATGCTAAGTTGTTTTTTAAAATATTTTTATTAATAATATGTATCTTATAGAACATAATTGTTGTATAACGTCCCTGTATAACAGATGGAGCGGGCGCGAGTGTGCGTGTCGCCGGCGACGGTGGCGCCGCCCCGCGTGTGTGTGCACGGCCTACAGGCGAGTCAGTGACGACAGGTATGTACAACACCGGCTTTACCATAAGGTTTCTACGACGGACACATCCGCTACACGTAGCGGGTTCGATTCCCACACGGAGCAAATCATTGTGTGCTCCAAAAATTGTTGTTCCGGGTGTGATGTGTATGTGAACTTGTATCGGTGTGAGAAACTCAAACTCAGAAGCAAACCCAAAAGCATTTATTTCAATTAAACCATAATTTGGTACTTTTGAAACGTCAACAAATAGAAAATAAATAATAGTCTGTCAGTCTGTCCGTCAGTGAAGCTAGGCGCTCGTTCCAAAATGTCGATTCGAGTGGAGAGGAACGAGCAAGAAACTCCATTCGTTACTCTTTAAAGTCTGTTTTACATTGCTCTGATACATATTCCAATATTGTACACACATGTGAGAATAATGTAAAGACATACCTGATGCAATATACAAATAACAGAATGTACTAAAATAAAAAATAAAACCAAGAGAAAACAAATATCTTAAGTGTGACATGGTCCTCACATATGTATATACTGACAATCCATATAAAATAGTGCTCCTATACAAGAAAAAAAAATAAACTCTTGTTTAAATAAAGAAAGAAATGCCACATGCTCGATGCCACAAGAAAAATAGATTGCCTTCATCGGAATCAAAGTATTAAATTACCTATTATCGTAATCTGAACTAGGTACTGACTACATTTGAGTATTGTTCAGTGGAGCCAAGTGGCACTTAATGCAACTGTACAATGTAACACCCACTTTTCACTATTTATGTTATGAGTCCCATGTAATAGGGGGTGAGCCTATTGCCATATACCGGACACATTTCCAGACTCCGTGCTACTACTGAGGTTTTTACAAACCCAGTAATACTTACAAAAAAATAAATAAATAAATTGAAGAGGCCTTTGATCAGCAGTGGACACTTATAGGCTATTGATGTGTGATGTGTTAGATTTCAATATGTTGTCTGTGTTTCCAGACTGGCTGCAGTACTGACCCTTGGTGCTAGAGACCTCAGGAGGGAGTTGGATGCGATTGTCATAAATACAGGTGACACATACATGCATACGTTTAATAAATCATTACTTAATGTCGTTCGATTAATATAATTTTTTTACGGGTGTCGTATACCCGACTAAGGCACTACACGTTAGACAGAGACCGTGCAGCAGCGCTCTCTGATAAACCTGGACCTTTTATACTGCGACTTTGAACCCGTGAACGAAGCGTGGAGATTATGGCAAAACTGAATCTCCTTTTGAGGGGAAAACCTTTCTTCTTATATTTATTTATTAACACTTTTTAGGGAACAGAGAGTATAGTTCCCTAAGATCGGAAAAGGAGGATCCTCCGACCAGACGAGGTGATCGTGCCTGGCGGGCTTTCTGCCCAACAGTTGCTCGTTGGGATTTTCTATCCATGTTTATTCGCTTGTAAACTTTACATGTGCGATGTAGGATTCTTGTGACGTCATCCGTTGACATGTGACATGCGTCGCCACACTTTAATGCACACAAAATAAGGTACATAATTTCACCACTCGACACTGGCAGTATAGTCGACAACACCATTTTGGAGACTCAGTTGCCAAAGAAGAAAAAAAAAAAAAAAAGGTACATAAGGTGGACTTAATGCCATATGGCATTTTCTCCCAGTCAACCTTTGGGTTAAATATAAGGTCAGCGAAAATGCTTATAGACTTGACATATTGCGGTTGATGATCTTACTAATAAAATAAATGCAAAAGTTTGTGTGTATGTTTTTTGATATTTATGGGATAAGCCGGTAAACGAGCAGACGGATCACCTGATGGTAAGCAATCGGCGTCGCCCATGGACAACCGGAATACCAGAAGCGTTACAAGTGCGTTACCGGCCTTTTGGGGATTAGGAATTGAGGATTGTTGGGGAGATTAAGTCATTGGGGCTCCGGTAACCTCACTCACATGATGAAACACAATGCTGTGGTTGTTTCACTATAGTTTTCTGCTCGTTGGTGGTATCACTCCGGTCGAGCCGAAGCATGGTTCTCCCACACTTAAAATATCACAGTCAGAAGAAGTCGTACATGTTCATTTTATACGTAGAAATGACGTTTCAGCCCACACTCCTAAACTTTGATTCGTTTTATCTAAGTATTGTTTTATTATACGACAAAATAAAAAAATACGTGTCTAATATTTTTTCATTACCTACCTGACGGATTAATTATATTTTTAATTTTCATACCCTGTCATCATCCCTATTCTTTTCTCTACAGATGGTGACACGAGCAGAGAGAGTGGTGAGCCCACCGCAGAAGTATACGTATTGTCCGTTGCACCCAGGACGTGAGTATCGCAATAAAATTTATCATCTTATATAAATTTAGACATACATCTAATCTTTTTATAATAACTAATGTGACACATACTAAATTAAGTAAAATAAAAATGAGCTGCGCGACATCGCCGCGACCGCGCACGCTGCTCATGAGGAAGAACCCCTCTGTAGTTCGAAACTAGTCGAGATTTTCTCAGTTTTGTTTTTATGGCATCTAATCTGTCGGCGTCGTGTCAGTCTGTCAGTTTTATACAGTATTTTGTTTTTTTATCGTATAAGCCGGTAAACGAACAGACGGATCACCTGATGGTAAGCAATCGGCGTCGCAAATGGACACCCGGAACACAATAGGCGTTACAAGTGCGTTACCGGCCCTTTGGGATTAGGAGTTTGAGGATCGTTGGGGATTCAGGGATTGGGGAGATTGGGGAATGGGAGGGTAATTGGGCCTCCGGTAACCTCACTCACACGACGAAACACAGCGCAACGTTGCTTCACTATGGTTTTCTGCTCGGCTGTGGTATCACTCCGGTCGAGCCGGCCCAGCAGTGCCGGTGACCCGTCTGCTCGTTTACCGACTTATACCATAAAAAAACTTGACTATTTCATTTTTTCGAACCACAGATTACATTTTCCCGCTACGCAATGACGCTTCGTTTTTTTTTTGTCTATGCTTCTAACAATATAATACCTATATCAAATAAAATATATTGTTTATATTTGCAGAGCGGAAGGAGAGAGTTCACAAGAGAGACGGACGGAGTTGACGCAGACTAACGATGCCATACGGCTGCATCCACACTTCCAGGTATATCCTTATCCTTACTATTATAAATGGGAAAGTGAGTTTGTTTGTTTGTTCCGCTTTCACGCCGTAACTTCTAAACAGATTGCTTTGAATTTTTGCAGACGTAAAATTAGAAGTCCGGATTAAATAATAGGGTACTTTTTATCCCGGAAAATTTTGGTATTCCCGAGGGAAAACAAAAGAATTGGTATAGATGGCGCTGTGTGTATTGGTGTAGGCTACTTTTATCCTTTAGTGACGCGAGCGAAGCCGCGGGTAAAAGCTAGTTTTTAATATTATTAAACAGTTTTATTTAACTTGCCCCGTTTGTTTGGGTCTTCAGTAGGTGTAATGCCCCCCCCCCTTTCAGACGACAGATCGATCTGATATTTGGTACACACTCTTAATCATGATGACTGTACAATATAATCTAATTGTTTCCGCAACTACCTCCGTTGTGGATGTCAGTGAAAGGGCTTGATTGGTAGAATAGAGCATATTTAACATAAAAATATGTATTACGTGTTTATCTATAAATTGTCTCTAGCTACATATGGCCTTTACCCAAACGTCACTTTAGCGCTTGTCTACAGAGAGAGTAGAAATCAAAATGTATGGGGATGACACTGAGAAGTGTCAAAATTTACGTCAATTCCATATAATTTGGTTTTCTATTCTACATGTAGACAAGCGCTAAATGACATTTGGATACAGCTGCATGTTACATGTCAAATGACATGTTTTTATAATAACTATCGTGAGACATACTAAATTAAGTAAAAACGCGGGGCACTCACGTGAATATTCTGAGAAAAGCTCTACTAGTTTCGAACCACAGAGGGACGTCGCGCAGCTCACAGTAGTACAAACTAGTAGAGCTAGCTAGAGTAGCTTTTCTCAGTATATTCACGTGAGTAACCCGCGTTTTTACTTAATGTCAAATGACAGTTCACGCACGTAGACTATCAATGAAACAAATCAACGGATGACGTCGCAACATCCTACATCGTATATGTGAATTAACACGGATACACAATCCCAACGAACAACTGTTGAGCTGTCTCGAAGCTCTTGTTGCATTTGCCCCCCCCCCCCCTTCAGCCACGCGTGGCACAGTGCGGCTCCGGGGCCGGACACTCCACCTGCACGTCGCGAGGTACTGCACGACCTGGCGGCCGCGCGCTACTACCGCGCCAGTATTACGACACATGGAGAAAGCGTTCGACCGCATCTGGCATTCCGGCCTGCTTTTAATTTAAATATTTTGTTTTTGACGTTCAAAAGTACCTTCTTGGTCTAAATGAAATAAATGGTTTTGACTTTGAGTTTGTACTTTAGCGCGACTTAAAATTGTGTATAGTTTAAGGGTATGTCGACAATAGTAACTGTGAATGGAATGTATTATATCGTATGTATCCCCAGGTGGTATGTGGCGGCGAGCTCCGCGCGCTACTACTGCGCGGCGCGACGTTGCCCGCGCCCGCCGCGCTCCCACCGCCCTCGGCGCGCGTGCATACACAGGTACATTACTGGCTTATATTGTCTACTACTGGTACCGGTACATTCTGTACCGCCCGCGCTACTACTGCGCGGCGCGACGTTGCCCGCGCCCGCGCTCTCCCACCGCCCTCGGCGCGCGTGCATACACAGGTACATTACTGGCTTATATTGTCTACTACTGGTACCGGTACATTCTGTACCGCCCGCGCTACTACTGCGCGGCGCGACGTTGCCGCGCCGCCGCGCTCCCACCGCCCTCGGCGCGCGTGCATACACAGGTACATTACTGGCTTATATTGTCTACTACTGGTACCGGTACATTCTGTACCGCCCGCGCTACTACTGCGCGGCGCGACGTTGCCCGCGCCCGCCGCGCTCCCACCGCCCTCGGCGCGCGTGCATACACAGGTACATTACTGGCTTATATTGTCTACTACTGGTACCGGTACATTCTGTACCGCCCGCGCTACTACTGCGCGGCGCGACGTTGCCCGCGCCCGCCGCGCTCCCACCGCCCTCGGCGCGCGTGCATACACAGGTACATTACTGGCTTATATTGTCTACTACTGGTACCGGTACATTCTGTACCGCCCGCGCTACTACTGCGCGGCGCGACGTTGCCGCGCCCGCCGCGCTCCCACCGCCCTCGGCGCTGCATACACAGGTAATTACTGGCTTATATTGTCTACTACTGGTACCGGTACATTCTGTACCGCCCGCGCTACTACTGCGCGGCGCGACGTTGCCCGCGCCCGCCGCGCTCCCACCGCCCTCGGCGCGCGTGCATACACAGGTACATTACTGGCTTATATTGTCTACTACTGGTACCGGTACATTCTGTACCGCCCGCGCTACTACTGCGCGGCGCGACGTTGCCCGCGCCCGCCGCGTCCCACCGCCCTCGGCGCGCGTGCATACACAGGTACATTACTGGCTTATATTGTCTACTACTGGTACCGGTACATTCTGTACCGCCCGCGCTACTACTGCGCGGCGCGACGTTGCCCGCGCCCGCCGCGCTCCCACCGCCCTCGGCGCGCGTGCATACACAGGTACATTACTGGCTTATATTGTCTACTACTGGTACCGGTACATTCTGTACCGCCTCTATCCGAGGAAAAACAAAAATCTTGTTATGTTTTTATAATAACTATCATGACACATACTAAATTAATTAAAAATCGCGGGTTACTCACGTGAATATACTGAGAAAAGCTCTACTAGTTTCGAACCACAGAGGGTTACTTCCTCATAAGCAGCGTGCGCGGTCGCAGCAATCTCTAATGTAGGTTACGCGACATCGCCGTGACACGCGATAGTAGTAGTATACTTTAGTGTAGATAGTAGCTTTTCTCAGTATTTTCACGTGTGTAACCCGCGATATTTTAGCTAAATATGTGATATTTAAAATTCGTAGATGTTTTTATCATACCTTTCCTGAACTCACAGAATACCGACTTACTCATGTAACTATGTGACGAGGAACTCGACTAGTTTCAAGCGTCACGACTATTTTCAAGGGTCGCGAAATGCTGCTCATAATTATGAGCCTCTAGCATGGCTTGAAACTAGTCGGGTTCCTCGTCAAATAATAACGAGAGTAAGCCGAAAACATAATAATTTATGACTGCCTCGTTGCCCGAGTGGTCGCAATTGCGACTGCCGGGCACGGGGTCTCAGGTTCGATTTCCGGGTCGGGCAAAGTATTACTGGAATTGTGCCCGGTTTATGGCAATAGGCTCACCCCCTATTAAATGGGACTCATAACATAAATAGTGAAAAGTGGGTGTTACATTGTACAGTGGGATAATGTGCACCTTTGCCTACCCTTTCGGGGATAAAAGGTTATGATGATGTAGTAATATTGTGTTATATTCCAGGTGGACTACATCCACTGCCTAGTCCCGGACCTGAAGGAGATCACGGCGTGTTCCTTCTACTGGGGCAAGATGGATCGCTACGAGGCTGAGAGACTGCTCGATAACAAGCCTGAAGGTAAGCTCTTATACAGATTACAGCACTTTAAGCTTTAGCACTGACAAACGGTGAAGGAAAAACATCGTGAGGAAACCTGGACTTATAATTTCTAATTATTAGTTTGAAATCGCCAACCCGCATCGAGCAAGCGTGGTGATTAATGCTCTAACCTTCTCCGTGTGAGAAGAGGCTTTGCTCAGCAGTGGGCATTTATAGGCTGTTGATGATGATGATGAAGCTTTAGCACGGGCCTGTGGACGGCGAGCACGGGTGACTCGCCGCCCGACCAGAACTAAACCCGAGCGTACGGCGCCGAGCGTTCCGCGCGCGCCTCAAGGAGCCATCAGACCACCACGGATGGGGCCTAACAGGGCTGATGCCGATACGGAGCCGCGGAAGACTTAACGGGTTGCCGGGGCTCCGGCTCGACATGCAGGAGAAGGAACGGGGTGGTGTTTAGTCAGTATGAGTCTGACACTCCCTCTCGCCTCACCCGGGCCTTAGAAATGATAGGATGATTTTCCCCCTCAAAAAAAAGCACATTAAGCTTTACGTAATTGTCAAATTCTAACAAACTTAATTTTAGACCTTATTATTTTGTACTAGCTACTTCCGCGCGGTTTAACACGCTCTTCTCAGCTCCTATTGGTCGTAGCGTGTTTATAGCCTGTAGGCATTTATTGAGGATGGCCCTCAATAAATGCGCTATCCAACACAAAAAGAATGATTCAAATCAGACCTGTAGTTACGGAGATTAGCGCGTTCAAACAAACAAACAAACAAAAAAAAAACTCTTTCACTTTATATAATAGTATAAGTTTAAAGTCGAATTTATTGACAAAATTTAATAGATGTAACTGTATTATATAAAATTACTAGCGGACCCGACAGACGTTGTCCTGTAATAATAGGTATAGATAAATAACCTAGAAAACGACTGCAGCGCCATCTGCCGGGCTGATTTGTAATGAATCTAAACCATTCGCAGATCCCCTTGAATACACACAAAAAATTTCATCAAAATCGGTCCAGTCGTTTGAGAGAAGTTCAGTGACATACACACACACGGAAGAATTATATATATGAAGATGAGGTCTAGGGTAAATAATAGGGTCAATAATCGAAGTCTATAAAACGCGATCTCTTAGATTTGTTGTGTTTACGGCTTACTCACGTAACTTTTTGATGTATTCGTCGTACTTACGTCGTACGTTGTACCATGCTGCTTTTAACTATGATCCCCGAGCTCAGTCTGAAATTATGTAGTCGATTTAACTTGACAAACAGGTATGATAGGAAGGAGTCATCCATAAATTACGTGTTTACTACGATAAGGTCTATATCAGGTTGTTTGCTGAAATAAAACCTTTTATACGTCTTTATAATTACTAGCTTTATTACCCGCGGCTTCACTCGCGTCACAAAAGGATAAAAAGCCTATGTGACATATACCAATACACACAGCGCCGTCTATACCAATCATTTCGTTTTCCCTCGAGAATATCAAATTTTCCCAGGATAAAAAGGACCCTATTATTTAATCCAGACTTCTAACTTTACGTCTGCAAAAATTCAAAGCAATCGGTTTAGTAGTTACGGCGTGAAAGCGGAACAAACAAACAAACTCACTTTCCGATTTATAATATTAGTAAGGATTCTAGATGAGTGGACTGTATGAACATAATTTGAATGTGTGTGAAGTATGTCTGTGTGCGTAAATTAAACCTAACCTAATGTGAACTTAATCTATTTAAACATTACGTCACACGAATTTCATGACATTTTTGTAACTTGTAAATTGTAACTTTTATGAAAAACTATTTATACCACGACGGTGGCAAAAAAGCACACGACACCTGCTGGTAAGCGGTTACCGTGGCCTATGTACGCCTGCAACACTTGGGGCATTACATGAGTCTTGCCGACCCTTAAAAAACCTATTCACTGCCCTCTTGAAGAACCTCATGTTGTAGCCCACTGGGAAAACCATGGCAGGGAGCTCATTCCACAATCGGAGGGTCCGTGGGAGGAAATTCCTCTGAAACCGAACTGTACGGGACCATTTTGGCTCCAATGAGTGAGCGTGAACCCCCTATTGATGGCGAGCGGTGCGATGATAAAAAGTGGCCGTGGGCATCATATCAAATAATTCCGCAGAACATAACCCATTACACAAGCGGTAGAACACGCACAAGGAGGCAAAATCTCTCCTTAGACTTAAGTGCTCGATACCGCTCGTTAGTATAGGATCGTCAACAAGTCTTACAGCTCTCCTATGGACCGCGTCAAAAAGTCCAAGCTGGTATGCTGGCGCTCCTGCCCAGAGATGAGAGCAGTACTCCATATGGGGGCGAACTTGCGATTTATATCTAAAAGCAGTCTTTGTCCCAGCGTGAAGTACTGCTTCGCTCTGTTTAGCACACCGAGTTTTTTAGATGCCAGCTTGGCCTTGTCTTCTAAGTGACTATGGAACTGGACGTCATTAGATATGTCGACACCAAGGATACCTATACTTTTGGAGATGTTAAGGGTAGTGTCTTGGAATTTAGGGGCCACAACGAATGGGGTTTTTTTAGCGGTAAACGCACAAACTTGTGTCTTGGAGGGGTTGAACCGGACCATATGGTGCCGACCCCAATCGGAGACTCGGCATAAGGTACTCTCGATTTGAGACACAAGTTTTACACGGCTTTCTTCCACAACGGAACGAGGGATGTTTGCACGGCCCGTGTAAGATGCGTCCCCGGTGCTATCATCAGCATAGCAATGAATACCCTCAACAGACAGCAAATCATTGATATGCAGAAGAAACAGCGTCGGAGAAAGTACGGAGCCTTGCGGGACGCCAGCGTTTATGTCCATGCTTTCAGAGCAACTACCGTCTACGACGGCTCTTATGCGTCGGCCGGACAAAAAGCTAGCAACCCATTTGCACAATCCCTCGGGCAGTCCGTATGATGGCAGCTTCGTCAGAAGACTCCGGTGCCAGACCCTATCGAACGCCTTCGCTATATCTAGGCTAACTGCCAATGCCTCACCTTGACTTTCAATGGCCGAGGCCCAGCGATGTGTGAGATACACTAAAGATCACCAGTCGAGCGACCGTGGCGAAAACCGTATTGACGGTCGCTGAGCAGGTCGTGCTCCTCTAGGTATCGAAGGAGCTCGGTATTGATTACTCGCTCCATCACCTTGGAAAGAAGGGAGGTAATAGCGATAGGCCTGTAATTCATCGGGTCTGTTCTATCGCCCTTTTTGGGCACCGGATGCACGTAATCGGTCTTCCACGAAGACGATACTTGCCTAGTGTGGTAAGAAAAAGCGAAAAGACGCTTTAGAACAGGGCACAATTCAGGAGCACACTGCCGGTATGCCGTCGGGCCCGCTCGACTTATGAACATCAAGACTTAGGAACTCCCGCCGAATGTCTCTTTGTGAGAAGCGAACCTCCGCCATAAAGTGGCCGCAATGCGGGATGGTAGGTGGTATGGTGCTTTCGTCGACGTTCAAAGTCGAGTTAGAGGCAAAGAGAGTGCCTAACAGACCCGCTTTCTCCTTTGCACTGTGGGCCAGGTTGCCATCGGTATTTTGCAGTGGCGGTAAGGACGACTGACAGAAGTTACCCTCGGCAGCTTTGGCAAGTGACCAGAAAGCACGAGTCCCAGAGGGATAGCCTGTTAGCTTCTCGCCAATGGGGTAGACGACTAATTTTTATTTTAATGTCCGTCTGATAGATTATTTAAAAACATTAGACACGTATTTTTTATTTTCTCACAGAAACGAATAGTTTCGAAGATATATTGATTTGAAATGTCGCGTGACGTCACTTCTCAGTACATTTTATACTAAGAAATGACGTTTTAGCCCCCACTCCTAAACTTTAACTTCGTTTTATCTAAGTATTGTTTTATTATACGACAAAATAAAAAAATACGTGTCTAATATTTTTTCATTACCTAACTTACGGACTAATTATATTTTTAATTTTCATACCCTGTCATCATCCCCATTCTGCCGATGAAATCGAATTTTGCTCTGGCAATTTTCCTTTTCGTGGACCTCGAGGCAGCATTAAGTTCGTTCACGTTATCATATTTTCGCGTCAAATAGCACACTTATCTTCTATATATAAATTTCGTACGGTAGACTCGATCGTAACATTACCTGAATAACAAAACATAAACAAATTTCGATTTCGAGACGACAACGTATATCTGCAAAATTCGGATTACGGAGATTATTTCGTTTTATTAATTCATTTTAATGACACTGACAGACAAACCGCAGTCGCCATCTTGAGTAGACAATAAACGTTCCGTTTCATACTAGCTCTAAAATACGCCAATCAACACGTTGTGGCGTTAAAAAATAATTATAATAGAAATATGAATGACGCGAACGAAGTCGCGGGTAACAGTATCTACCCGCGGTAGTATCAATGAATGAAAGAGAAATTCTTCAATATTTAATTGGACTGAAAAATCAAAACAATTTAAATTTGACTCAGCAAATAACCCAATTGTATAGGACCAGTTGGGCTCCTATTTGTTAGCTTGAACTCCCTGTCTATGGCGAGATCATGATGATAGAATTTAAGAATATAGCGAATACTAATATCATTATTAATGTATGTTTTGAACGATGTGTCCAGGCACGTTCCTCCTCCGCGACTCCGCCCAGGAGGAGCACCTGTTCAGCGTGTCGTTCCGCAAGTACGGGCGCTCGCTGCACGCGCGCATCGAGCACTACCAGCACCGGTTCAGCTTCGACTCCCACGACCCCGCCGTCTTCGCCGCCTCCACCGTCACCAAACTCATCGAGCATTACAAGGTTAGCTCTTCTATTTAAGTAAACTAAATCTAAGTACCTACTTACTAATCAATGTATGTCCCCAGGACCCGGCGTGTGTGATGTTCTTCGAGCCGATGCTGACAGCTCCACTGCCGCGCAGCGAGCCATTCTCTCTGCAACAACTCGCGCGGGCTGTCATCGTGTCGCATACTAGTTACGACGGTAAATACAGACTAGTACTTTATGGAAACTGAGTGTGTACCATCTTGGACCTCATACAACTAAACAATCAAATACTTTGTGTTCCACCCTTCACAAGTACAGAACATACACACAACAACACCTACAAACTTCCGCATCTATATTATTAGTGAGGTAACCAATATTAACCAATTATCTTCCCCCCACAGGAGTGGAGAAGCTCCCCCTCCCGCCCCGTTTACGACTATACCTCAAAGAGTACCACTACAGACAAAGGGTCCGCATTCGACGCCTGGAACCGGACTTGTACGAGCACCATCACTGCTAGCACCCGTTGGTATATACACCGTCATATTATTATGTTATACATAACACTCCGGGTTATTTTATTAAATTAGGTATGTACGTGTCACAAACCTATTTTGAACCTAATCTCTATTGAAATAGGTGTTAAAATCTTTTTATTTACACCATCGGGTGTATAAAAGTGACAAGATAGCTTCAGTTTGAAATGGCAGGTTTATATTTAAATAATTACGTAATATTACTGTACAAGTGCCCTCAACCGACGAGCATGCGTGGAAACACTGATTACTGTCGATGAAGCGAAAGAGGTATGTAGGAATCGGAGCAATTGGGTGCTTTCCTTAATCAAAAATGAAATATTTCGAAAATATTGAAAAATAATCACACTTTGACTGCCTCGTTGGCCGAGTGGTCGCAAGTGCGACTGCCGGGCAAGGGGTCTCGGGTTCGATTCCCGGGTCGGGCACAGTATTACTGGGGTTTTTAAATATTCTCAGTAGTAGCACGGAGTCTGGAATTGTGCCCGGTATATGGCAATAGGCTTACCCCCTATTACATGGGACTCATAACATAAATAGTGAAAAGTGGGTGTTACATTGTACAGTGGTATAATGTGCACCTCTGCCTACCCCTTCGGGGATAAAAGGCGTGATGTTATGTAATCACACTTTCATTAATTGATTTTATGACCAACTTAATTTTAACATGTTTCAGCAAATTTATCAAAAATAAGTACCTATGCTGCTTGACGCTAAAAAACGTGACGTCACAATACACAATCTCGTACAAAATTAATAGAAAACTGTCGTTCAGACTAGTTGGCAAGTACCCACTTGGCGTTCCATAGTCTCTGCCTACCCCTCTCTATAATGTATCGCATTCTTAAGCTTTTGTTTCGATGTAATTCTACTTACCTGCCCAGTCCCCGAGCGGTCTCCGGTGACCGCTCTCTACTTACTCCATTATAGACCTTATTGCCGATGTTCAGAGACTACTTTTGTATCAACAAATGTTGGGGATTTTTCATAATCGCGGATGTAACCGTTAAGATACGTGAAGGTATCGGATGTCCGAACCGTAACGGATTGTCTCTATTTGTAAAGTTGGTCAATTAATATACTAATACTTCCTCCTAAGTGTAAGTAACACTTTGCTGAAAGCCGCGTCAAAATCGGTCCAGCCAGTCGCGAGACAATCGTGCACAGACATAGGTCACACTGAGAACCACTTTTTGTTTATTTTTGAAGTCTGTTATAAATGTATCGAACATCCGATCCTTTTATTTAAATTTATTTAAATACCCTGTTATTTCAAACTGTAGCTTTTTAATAAATCTCTTGACAAAAAAGTCCTACAAAATTGTATCTCAAACCGGGAATGAACTCGGTACAAAACGGATTTGATGGTTCAAACCTCTATAGGGGTTGTTATAGTGAAATCACTAAATGAATAATGCCTTGTTATATTAATTAATGTAATGTAATCTAGGGATAAAATAAGATAATATAAAATTAAAGAAGAAAATGTATATTTTTTGGTAAACGGAGATGTTTTTTATATTCATTAATCTGTTTGTATTAAACCTTTGATACTACATTAATTATTATGTTTTCAAGGAACTCGACTAGTTTCGAACCATGCTAGAGGCTCATATGAATCACGGCAGAGGGCGCGCTGGGCACGTAGTAGCCAGTACTCCAGCTCGACAGTCGAGGGTCGCGGGATTCTGCTCATGAACATGAGCTTCCAGCATGGCTCGGAACTAGTCGAGTTGCTCGTCAAACAGTGACGTGAATATAAAATAGAATAATTAATTCATTTCAGTCGTCAGTCAATGTTTAAATTACTGCTTGAACCAGAATGTGACCTAGAGGGCGCCCTAGGTAGAGCTCGTAGGCGCCCCTAATTAGTTTTGGCGCCACCGTCCCTCGCAGTCGACCGCGGCGCCCTCTGTATCCTGGCGCCCGGCACTTGTCTAGCTAGCCTCAGGGCAATACAACTGCCGAAACGTGTTTCTAGTGCATCTAGAATGACCTCGAGTGTTGTCTCAAAGTACTATCGTGATATATGTCTGCCTGGACTGTAGAAGAGACGGAATGAAATAACATTGCTTTTACAATTGGCGACCTTTCCGAAGGAAGCGTTATTTGCCATTCATATTTCTACATAATATATATATAGAAGGCAGTATACCAAAATATCTTGAAATATGGTGACCGCTCTCCATTAACTCCAATATAGACCTTATTCCCGACGCTTAGAGACTACTTTTGTACCCAACACGCATGTACTAGGTCGACCTGTACTGGACTATGTAACACAATCTAAGAATCTGAATTACACACACTTGTAATTGTTGTATCGTCGTGAAACTCGGCAGTTGTATGTAGATTAGACGACAATACAATATTATGGCGCCGTCGAGCTGGTTTGACCTGGTCTGGAAGGCCCAATCCTCCCCCATCCTGAAATCCCTAATCCCCCAACGTACTTGTAACTCGTCCAGTGTTCCGGGTGTCCATGGGCGACGCCGATTGCTTACCATCAGGTGATCCGTCTGCTCGTTTGTCGTATACTATAAAAATATATGGTTTTCAGTATATCTTGTTGTGCTGCCGTCTTATGTACTACTTCTGCTGAATACAGTGTTTTATGTATAATTCAAAGCGTACATTCGTATGGAGGAGAACGAGCAAGAAACTCCATCGTTGACTCTTTTGATTCAGAATAACGTCTTCACTGTATTCAGTAAAACAAAGTACCTATTATTAGGAAATTTACAAAAAGTGTCTGAAATAAATGATAAATATTATGGCAATGTTACATGCATGCTACTAGCCCTACTCTTCCCGCGGGTGTCGTATACCCGACTAAGGGATTTCATGTTTGACGACCCACCAGCCAGACGTCTAATGTGTAGTGCCGTAGTCGGGTATACAATACCCGCGGGAAGTGTAGCGGTGGTGACAGATGGTTTGATCTATAATATTTATGCGCGTAATATTGTCATTAGAAGTTAAAAAGTCGGTTTTATATTTAATTCTTATTATTATTTATAAATCATGTGTTTTATAGTATCTTGATATTAATATGAGACATACATGCATACATTTTTATATTAAATGTTATTGTACTTATATAAACACAGGTCTTTTATAAATAAAATTATGTTTTTCTACACAAAAATGAAATTTTGAAATTACTCCGTTTTTATTTGATTATATTTTTGTATATAAATTACGAGAGATATGTAGTTTATGTTAATATTAATATCAAAATATTGTACTATTAATAATTATTATATTACGTTCTATTACTGTACATTGTAAATTACTGTAATATAGATATAAATAAATATAATAAAATATTAATTTTAAGTTCTCGAGGAGGCAATCGGTGCGAGCAATCTGTTGTCTGGAGAAATGGTACCTATTTATTGCATAAACGACTCGACAATGTCAACTATATCACACGAAGAACTTCAACACATTTATTTATACCACGACGGGGGCAAGGAAAGCACACGACACCTGATGGTAAGCGGTTACCGTGGCCTATGTACGCCTGCAACACCTGGGGCATTACATGCGGCTTGCCGACACTTCATAAACCTATTCACTCCCTTCTTGAAGAACCCCATATTGTAGCACCGGGAAAACCTCGGCAGGGAGTTCATTCCACAAGCGGAGGGTCCGTGGGAGGAAATTCCTCTGAAACCGAACTGTACGGGACCACTTAAAAAAATATAGTTTATTCCTAAAACCCACTGACGCAGTGTAATAAGGGCCGATGTTTCCAACGCTAGATAAATTTAAACTAAAATAATAAAACAGTTTATTTCAAACACAACAGGCATTAGATAAAGTTATTGGAGATCCCCTTCCAAGCAATAGATTGCTCGTGCTAGGAGACTCCGCACTTCCACACGCCATTGTAAGTAAATGAAGTTACAATGTAGGTAATGTAAACACGCAACACTAACGACACAACGACATGAAAGTAAATCAAGTTCAACTTATAATTGTAATCGCTCAAGCAATGAATGAGCATAATTATTTCAAACTAGCTTTTACCCGCGGCTTCGCTCGCGTCACAAAAAGATAAGAAGTGGCCTATGTGACATATACCAATACACACAGCGCCATCTATACTAATACTTTTGTTTTCCCTCGGGAATATCAATTTTTCCGGGATAAAAAGTACCCTATTAATTAATCCGGACTTTATCTTTACTTCTGCAAAAATTCAAAGCAATCGGTTAAGTAGTTACGGCGTGAAAGCGGAACAAACAAACAATCAAACAAACAAAGTCACTTTCCGATTCATAATATTAGTAAGGATTAAAAAACAGTTATTGTAACTGAGATAACTGAATATTTGACAATTCTTCCGTACCGAACTGTCGAATGTCAATTTTGTTCTACAGTTAAGAATTAACTGAGGATTGAAAACTCGGCCCTTATCGAGTTATGCAAATGTTCTTCGTTTCTGTAATTAACCCAGTGCTCTTACTATAGTTATAAATCCCACGGGGAAGCAAGCGACGCCTTTGGAAAAAGCTAGTGTATCTGGAACTACCCGATATACTAATATCAGGACAGTCGTTCGCACCGATTGCCTCGTCAGGTAACAGTTATGACAAACGTATTATTAGCACTCTGTGCGTACAAAGATAATGAAATATATAAAATAAATATATTTTAAAATACATTCGCTTTGGTTTCATTGTTCAAAGTTTCAGATCTCGTCCCGTTATTTCCGTCATTTTCCCGTTATTCGTCTTTAGTGGTGGCGGAGGTAAGTATTATAAAGGTAAATAAATAAAAGCCATTACATTAACAATAACCGACTTTATTTGGAATAACTACCACCTCATACACACAGTTGTGAGTACACTACAGTTACACATACATACACACATGTTACATAGTATTAATATATGGAATCTACTGGAAAATGAGGGCGACATTGTTTGGACCACCTTTCCTTATCCCCTTGGGGATTAAAAGGCGTGAAGTTATTGAAGGAAATCAAGGCACTGTAGTACATAACATACATACAAACAAACATCAAATGTATAGAAACAAAAGAGATACTAGCTGTTGCCCGCAACTTCGTCCGCGTACAATATTAATTTTAGTACATAACTTTTGTTTCAATTTTCCAAAATAAAAGTAGCCAATGTAACTCCTTAGTACACCATGCGACGAGATCGCATCGTTCAATCTTCTCCTAAGTGTAACTAACACTTTCCTGAAAACCGCATCAAAATCGGTCCAGCCAATCGCGAGATATTCGCGCACAAACATACATACAGGTCAAACTGCGACCAACTTTTTGTTTTTAAATTCCGTTAGAAATGAAAGGAAACTTGTGTTAGTTTTAACATTATTTAATGAATATTACATTTATATAAATATAAATTATTTCAACAAGGAATTAAAGTACAGTCGTTCAATAATTTGAAGCCATTATAGTCTATCGGCCAACTAGGCGGACACTGAGTCTTACCTAGCTCCGTTGTGACAGTTCCAACAACGAGATTATTCAATATGCAGGTCTGTAGTGAGTAAATAAACAGTGATTCAGTACAGAGACAGTAGCTACCTTACTGATATTATAAATGCGAGAGTTTGTGTGTGTGTGTGTGTGTGTTTGTTACTCAACCGCGTCGAAACGGCTGAAGGGATCAGGATGAAATTTGGGACAAGGATAGACTATGGTCTGGAATAACACATAGGCTACTTTTCACCCCATAGCAATCGGCGTCGCCCTGGAACACCAGAAACATTACAAGTGCGTTTGCTTTTGGGGATTAGGAGTTTGACTCCTAATCCCCAAAAGGCCGGTAACGGGGACAACAGGGATTGTTTGGGATTCGGGGATTGGGGAGATTGGGAAAGGGGGGAGGGAGCTGGGCCTCCGGTAACCTCACTCTCATGACGAAACACAACGCAAGCGTTCCTTCACGTCGGTTTTCTGTGAGGCCGTGGTATCACTCCGGTCGAGCCGGCCCAGCAGTGCTCAAGCATGGCTCTCCCACACAACTCGGAAAGTCACATTGGTACTTGCTAGGTTTTGACAATGCAATCATTGGTCGGCTCTAGACCCCAATAGTTATTGTCTCTGTACTGAATCAATCTTTATTTCTTAAATACCTTGGCCGACTGACATGTTCTATTGCATTCCATTTAACAAATGCATATCTTTTTTAAATGTTAACAATTTAACTAAATTCAAGTGTCCAGTACATTTAGGTTCCACTAATTAAAACCTAAAAATGATATGTTAACATACAGAATATTTTCAAAGCTGTTTCAATCAAAATATTGCATGTTACCCTTAAAATATCTGAAAAACCATATTTGTTTAATTCACCACACATCCTATATATGACATAACAGTTTTAAAAACACTCTGTATATGGAAATTAAAAATGGAAACACTATGTGAGTAACATAGTTCCTTTTCGAACACAGTAACTGACAGTATGTTACTCAAAAACAACCTTTATAACTAAGGCATAAAGTTTAAAATCTTTCATACTAAGCAAGGGTTTTGGCTGTAAACTATCGCTGTCTCTCTCTTTCATAGGGACAAGAAAAAGACAGCAATACACCTACATAGACTACAGTCTTAACATTATCAGTAGCAATTAAGTCCAAAATCGGTGTTAAATTAAAATCAACTTTATTTTAATAGTTTTACAGTTCATAATATGGTAGCTTGACAGTGAACCTCGCTACCATCAGTTGACTGGACAATCTCTACACTACACAAGTCACTGTTTACATGTTACCATTACTTCATAGTTCATTTCCATACACATAATATAATTTGGTATAATTTCGTTTGATATAATTATACTTTCGTATAATTAGTTTTGGCATAATACTATTAAAATCCAATTTAATGTTCCTATTCGGTCAGTCACCAACATTATATGAATTAAAATTATACCAAAATATATTTACTACACCAAAACCATAGCTATCTTTGGCATAACTGTTTTTGGTATTTATCTAATATTAAATATTATGCCAAAACCGTTAACCACAGCATTGTTATACCAAAAATAATTATGCCAAATGGACCGTTCAAATATTACTTACGCAGATTTTTTACAATTATCTACCCCCTATCCCCTTGTCAGCTAAAGTAAGCAAAGATCTTACCCCCTCCCCCTTTGCTTACGTAAACATTTTAAATTATATATTATATATTCTCTTAGATACCATAATGTCTAGATCTTTGTCGGTCTTTGCTTGTAATTTATAATTTCAATATGAGGGTTGCCATTCGTGTAAAAAAGTAAATAACTACCGATGACGTAATCATCATCTAGACACCCCTACCCCCCATATCATCCAAAATAAGCAAAACAGAGACCCCCTCACCCCAATGGTGCTTACGTAATACTTGAACGGCCCCAAAGAACTTTTATAGCAAAATCAATTATACCAAATTCACATTATAGCTAAACCAATTATATCAACACACACTACCATCAGTTGACCGGACTATGTACATCTATCGCGCGAATACTCAAAAGCTACTCAGTTTTAAGTTGTACTTAAATATCGGTACATACTACTGCCAGCCACCTTGAGGATGTCGTCACTCCACCTAGCTGGAGGGTGCCCTACACTGCGTTTACCTCAACATGGAAGTACTTGATTATGAAATGGACGACGAGGATCAAATTCAATCCCAGAATGTCTCCTCATTTCCAACCGAAACCAAAAAAAGATGTCATTCATCAGGACATCTCCGGTACAACCCCAAGCATAGTCACTCGAGAAGAAGAATGGCAAAGGAAGGTCCTTCTACAGCCAATAAGACCAAATGAAGGTCCCGCAAACACTGCTGCTCCCATTAAGTAAGACACGAATGAAGAGAGACCTCCACCTCGGGATCAGGAGTGGAGAACCTTCAGGAGGCCCAAATCCTGGGTCTAAGGACAACTGAGAGTGGAGAGCCTTCAGGAGGCCCGGATGCTGGGTCTAAGGGGACAAACAGCCGTCGCGGAGAACCTAACGGGTTACCGGGGCTCGGCCTCGACGTGCAGGAGAAGGAACGGGGTGGTTTTTAGTCAGTAAGAGTCTGACACTCCCTCCCGCCTCACCCAGGCGGGGGCAGTCGCAAATGATTTTTCCCCCCTTAAAAAGGGGAGACAAATAGCAACACCCTCCCAACCCAGTCCATCCAGTGGCACCACTCCCCATACATCCTCCACTGGTGAGCTTGGACAAATGGTAATATTAATATCGTGCCATCACTGTCATTTTACAGAACTATTCTTAAGCACAACTTATAAATGAGTGGCTTTTGGGTATTTCAGCTTAAGCTACCTATAGTCAACCAAGTTATTTAGTATTCAGGTAAGAAAATAAACATTGATTCAGTACAGAGACATATTATTCGGTTCGATTCTTGGGTCGAGCAAAGTATTACTGGGTTTTTAAAAATCTCAATAGTAGGGAGTCTGGAAATGTGCCCGGTATATGGCAATAGGCTCACCCCCTATAAAACAAACAAACAAAAAAAAAACAAACGACAAACTTATATTTACGCTTGGTACAGTAACTGTGTCTAGGGATCAAGCCGCACAATTAAGTTTGTTTTTTCGTGTATATACTTTTTCGGGATAAAAAGTACCCAGTGTTGTGCACAGGATATTAAATCACATGTACAGAATTTAAACTTCTACAGTTTTATTATATGTTTTTTTTAAGGGGGAAAATCATCGAATGACTTCTTCGGCCTGGGTGAGGCGGGAGGGAGTGTCAGATTCTTACTGACTAAAAACCACCCCATTCCTTCCCCTGCACTTCGAGCCGGAGCCCCTGTAACCCGTTAGGTTCTCCGCGACTTTATTATATGTATAGATTGCCTGCTTTGTTACGAAGCCATATCTTTTGTAACACAGTCGGCTCTAGACCACCAATGGCTACTGTCTCTGTACTGAATCAACGTTTATTCTTTACCTGCATACTATATAACTAGGCTGGCTGTACATACATGTATAATATATATATGTATGCAATCACTTGGCGACGCCTACTAGGGCCGGTCTGACGCATCGCTCGTGTAGTTTGTAGCCAACCTTACTGACTGCCACCACTGTGCCAGGTTCTGCTCCTTCTACCTCCTGAAATGGAATTAACAAATAAGTCTTGGTCAAGCCCGGCATACTAAATTAACTTATTACTCACGTGAATATACTGAGAAAAGCTCTACTAGTTTCGAACCACAGAGGGGTTCTTCCTCATGAGCAGCGTGCGCGGCACCTCTGTGGTTCGAAACTAGTAGAGCTTTTCTCAGTATATTCACGTGAGTAACCCGCGATTTTAGTTAATTAAGCCCCGCATCTCAAGCATGAGGGTTCGAACCTGGTAAGGACCAATGTGACTTGACTTTTTCCGTTAGCAATACCGTAGAAGGCCTCCTGAAACGGAGCGGAGACGGAGGCGGAAGCGATGAGTTTTGGCACCGCGAATGCGGAGGTAAAAGTGAATGTAGAATAATATTCATTTATGGTATAATAGAAAGTTTTTACATAAGGTATGTGGGATTTGCACGTCACTAAACCAGCTCAATATAATATGATGGTCACACTTTTTTAAAGGGAGGGAAATCATTGAATAACTTTGCCCACCTGACCTCACCACTGGGTACAATGAATAGTAAATATTTTTTGTTTATAGTATTTAAAGTCGGTTTTTTAATGTAGAATTAAGTACAATACTGCCTCGTTGGCCGAGTAGTCGCAAGTGCGACTGCCGGGCAAGGGGTCTCGGGTTCGATTCCCGGGTTGGGCAAAGAATTACTGAGTTTTTTAAAAAATCTCAGTAGTAGCACGGAGTATGGAATTGTGCCCGGTATATAGCAATAGGCTCACCTCCTATTACACGGGACTCATAACATAAATAGTGAAAAGTGAATGTTACATTGTACAGTGGTGTAATGTGCACCTCTGCCTACCCCTTCGGGGATAAAAGGGGCATTTTTTATCAACATTTATCTACAGGATTCCGTAATATTTACCTGCTGGAATAGCGCTTCATGTAGGTTGGGGTCGAACTTCTCCCGCAGCGGTGACACCGACACCAGTCCGTGTCTACTGAACACCTGGAAATACAATCATTAGATATAAGTCATTGTTAAGACCTATGAGCACCCAGATATGGTCGACTGGACTGTTGGCGCGGGGGCTGGGTAACTGGGTGCCGCGCAACGTGTCGCGGGTTCGATTCCCGCACGGAACAACTCTTTATGTGATCAAAGTGTAGAGTCCTAACTGGCTGCCGCGCAACGTGTCGCGGGTTCGATTGCCGCACGGAACAAATCATTTGTGTGATCAAAGTGTAGATTCCTAACTGGCTGCCGCGCAACGTGTCGCGGGTTCGATTCCCGCACGAAACAACTCTTTGTGTGATCAAAGTGTACATTCCTAACTGGCTGCCGCGCAACGTGTCGCGGATTCGATTCCCGCACGGAACAACACTTTGTGTGATCCACAAATTGTTGTTTCGGGTCTGGGTGTCATTGTGTACGTGAACTTGTATGTTTGTAAACGCACCCACGACACAGGAGAAAATCCTAATGTGGGGCAACGTTTTATTTAAAGTCAAAAGTCAAAGCATTTATTTCAATTAAACCATAGTTTGGTACTTTTGAAACGTCAACAAATACAAAATAAATAATAGTCTGTCAGTCAGTCCGTCAGTGAAGCTAGGTGAAGCTAGATGCTCGTTCCAAAATGTAGATTCGAATGGAGAAGAACGAGCAAGAAAAAAAAGTATGTTGTACAATGTGTCTGATACATAAATGAATAATAAAGCGCGTGTGTGTGTACCTGTGTGAGCTGCGCCCGCGTGAGGCGCACCCCGTCGTGCAGCGAGCGCAGCGCGGCGGCGGCGCCGGCCTCCGCGGCCGCCGCGCCGCCCTCCGACACCTCGCTCTCCGGCACGCTCTCCGCGGCCGCCGCCAGCGTGTCGGCTACCTGGACCATTCAATATTATATATGCTAGAAGTCTTCTCATACAATCTTCTGATTCACTTTTAGGTGTGGGAGAGCCATGGGTCGGCTCGACCGGAGTGATGCCACCAACGAGCAGAAAACCGATGTGAAGCAACGCTTGCGTTGTGTTTCGTCGTGTGAGTGAGATTACTGGAGGCCCAATTACCCTCCCCTTCCGCAATCTCCCCAATTCCTGAATCCCCAACGATCCTCAAACTCCTAATCCCCAAAAGACCGGTAACGCACTTGTAACGCCTCTGGTGTTCCAGGTGTCCATGGGCGACGCCGATTGCTTACCATCAGGTGATCCGTCTGCTGGTTTACCGGCTTGTGCCATAAAAAAATAAGGCTCCAATTGCCCAAGCTACTTACATCTAGCAGGTCCTTGCAGAAGCTCTGTATAGCGAAAGACTTGGCGTCTTCCACCTGCTTCATCATGCGACGTCTGACATTCTCTCCGTCGGCTAGCGCACGCTTGTACTTGTCCTGAAATTACATCATTATCATGTGAATTCGCTACTGCCGAAAATAGGCCTCCCCCAATTAGTTCCAGTTGAAATTAAGGAGTTCCACATTGTCACATAGCCAGCCTAGTGAATTAGCATGCTGAAGGAGCATTGTTTTCAAAACATAGCGATATTGTTCGAAGAACAATTGCTAACGTCTGGGTTACTTACTAAACCCAACGGACTTAATCATTAATTTACTCTGAGCATAGCAGTTTGGGAGAGCCATGCTTCAGCACGGATGGGCAGAGAACCATAGTGAAGCTATGCTTGTATTGTGTTTCGTCGTGTGAGTGAGGTTACCGGAGACCCAATTACCCGCCCTCCCCAATCCCCGAATCCACCACACACCTCAAATTCCCAATTCCCAAAAGGCCAGTAACGCAGTTGTAACGACTTGGTGTTTCAAGTGTCCATGGGCGGCGCCGGAGTGCTTACCATCAGGTAATCCATATGGTTGTTTACCGGCTTATGCCATAAAAAAAATAACCTTACAAAACTTAGACCTAATCAAGAGAAACTATTAGAATCCCATAAAAAGCTCACTTCATAATCTCTGGCTTGAGTCCGTAGTGAGGTGAGGTCGCTGGTGAGAGTCTCAATCTGCTTGTGGCACTCCTCGATGGAGCCGGGCAGCTTGTTATCTGCCTCTGGCTCAGCTTTGCTCTTTTCTTCTGTGCTGTAACCTTGAGCTGTGCTTCTGGAAAGAGAGTGAAGACTTTTTAACTGACTTTAACCTTTTAACCACTTGTGTCGCATATATCAACACATGCGACAGAGAACATGCATGATTTTTTCTTTCTATCAACAAGATTGCTCCTCCTTATTTTCTGTATATAAACATTATCTTTATTTCACTTTGTAGTCACGCTCTAGGCGCACGGCAATTGATATTCAACTAGGTTAAGTATCAAAACTTACGATTTTTCCTTTTCTAAAAAAAATAATTAGTCCGTAAGCTTTCCTAAAGCTAAATAAATAATTGGCCTGATGGTAAGCGGACACAATAGCCTTAGTACACCTGCAACACCAGAGGTTTTGTGTTACAAACCATCTAGATAATTCTTGTTGTTTCTGGTGGTTCCCTAAAATTTTATCAAACAGGCTGTTAGCTCTTAGAGTCAAAAAGTCAAGATTCCGAGGCAGACAGCTTTTTTTAATGGAATAGGCCAGTAAACAAGCATACAGATCACCTGAAGGCAGTTGTTTCTTTTTGTGTCATAAAATTGTTTGAATTTGCAACAGTATAAGATGTGTATTGTGTTATCTGTATAATATAGATAAGCATGTGGGAGAGTTTGTACTTTGAACACATGGCTTAATTACGCGAATCCTACTTATTGGGTACAGTTTTAATCTTATGGGAATGTAGGGACATTCAAACTCTTACTTGTAGGAGATTAAGAAGTTTTATAGGCAATTTAATATGATTCTCTTTACCTAAAAGTTGTCTAACTCAAGAATTAGATAATTGACTTATTAGAATCGTGGTCAACAAGAAGATACAATCGAATTCCATTAAGAATATTCGAATAAATGCATTATAATCGACTCCAGTAAATATTACATCAGCTTTTATATAAATGCGATAACCTCAAATGCTTAGCGGAAACAAAACAAATAAACTTCGATTCTGTTGTCTTTTACAAATTTTGACATTTTCATTCAGTAATTTTTCCAAAATTTAAAAATCATTTCTGATCATAACCTCAAAATTGATTGCGCAATTATACCTGTATACATTGGCACGGAGAGTCCTCAATGTCTGTCCAGAAATAAATTTCGTTAGTTTACCCACTGAATACACGTTTAACGAAGCCATTGCAATTCGTATTATGTAATTATTTATAACAATTTCTAAAATAAATTCACATAAAAAGAGGTTATGCTGCAATTCTGACTGAATTCTTTATCTGTCAAGTTTTTTTTTAATTCCTCTATGACTGACAGACGCGAGACGGTCAAGGTGATGACAGTTGAGTTTGGATACCAAGTTGGAGAACTGGGAAGATGTTTGGGTTATAATAAAATATTTAAGGCTATTCACCACTGATATGATTTGAAAGTCAAATTGAAATTGATTAATCACATTTTTAAATAAAGATAAATATTACATTGCGCAAAATGTTATCAAACTTCAGAAACTTCAAAGCAAAGCATCAATAACGATAGCAGCAATGCAAATTGCAAGTTTGACTAGAGCACGAACTGAACACAATTTCTTTCATTAATTTCGTATCCTAGAAATCAAAATATTCATGCAATGTATCCGAACTAAAAAGTGAAGGTTACGTCAAATTCGAATAAATGCGTCAAATCAGCTGTTATCTGTCAAAATTTACAAGTACCTATTTTGTGTCTTTACAAAAAGCACATGAACATGATTGCATCATCTGTAAATCCACTATCCTATGTCTCTGTTTCCGTTGACGTCATAAAGCGTGTCTCTCATCCACGAGACATTGCTTAGAACTTTGGAAAAATCAGTGTTTTCACAATCAGTGTGTTTCGGGCGGCGGTCGAGTGCGCGCGTAAAATTCAAACATGGCGAATTTAGCTGTATTTGATTTCGATCGTACTATTGTTGACGATGATTCGGACGCGACAATAATAAATAGATTGAGGGAAAAGAAGCCGCCGCCTGAATGGGAAGCTGGAAACCACGATTGGACTCCATACATGAGCGATGTAAGGGTTTTTTAAAACATCTGCACTTAGCTGTATATTTTCTTGCCTTTGCACCTAGCTTTTGCATGTTTGGTTAAAAAAAGTTGTATAGATGTCTATGCAAGTATTTTTTTTTTTATAATTTTATCCGTAATTTATTTTTATTCATATTTTTGTTATGAGGAATGCCATGAAATTGTAGATTCTTACTAGACATGCGCAAAACAGTACGTCAAATAGTAATGCAACATCACGCATCTCTTCCACGGAAGTGATATTACTCCGTAACATCACACATTACCCGATCGATTTTTATTGAAATGATGACCGAGTAATGTTTAAGGTGATATGTGAAGTATTACAGATCATATTGAAAAGTAGCAATAATAACTGCAATAGTTATTACATATCGTAAAATTACAATTTAAGTAAATATTAAAAAAATGTAGTTGATTTTCCTTCATACTTGGCCACGTACTTATTTACTTAAACGTACGTACTTACTTAAATATTTATTTACAAAACACAAAAACTTTGTTAGCACTGGTTAGCACACACTACGGAAAGAACACGCACGCTTCGAACTAAACAAAAATCTATATATTATCTAAACTAATTTCTAATTACAAGCAATGTAACCTACTCCGCCCGGTAACAAACTTGGCGACATAAAAAATCAAAACATTTGAATACTAGGTACTTGCATAGCACGTGTCACCATTCTCTGTCTCTTTTTCGCGATATGCGCGGCCGGCAAAATTTTACATCGGCTGCGCGCGGTGGGCGCTCGTGCTTACGAACTAAAACGACGCTTACCGAACGTTGCCGAAGTGATGAGTGATGCGAGTGATGTTTGTAACTGATGCGTAATGCGTGATGTTGCATTACGTGTCAAAGTGATATTACTTTTGTACTATTACACGCATTACCTACCCATGTCTAATTCTTACAATTTTCCAAGAACTTTGTGATACTTGGCATGAGTTTATTTGTTGATATTGGCACTGTTTTATCGAAAGATACCTACTAACAATTTCGTGATATTTCCGTGGTATTATTATTGTCGTGTTACTAGCGAAGATGAATGAAGTTTGGTAAAAAATACTTAAGTACTAGGTATTAAAAATAATTTGGTATAAAGTTTATGTAATCAGAGAGATGGTCGAGATACTTTCACTTAAAAGCACATTCATAAAATAATCTAAAAGTTCCCACAGACAATGCCGCCATGTAAAAGCCGTCGGCATGTAGGAGAAATAATAATAGATTTTTTGTTTGAAGTTCTTCCCCGCGATTTGTTAGGCGCATTGAAAAATAATTCTGAATAATTCTAAACTCAAACAAAACATATGAATAGTGTGAGAATACATTCCTTAGTTTAAGATACGAAGAAAAAAGTTTACGAAGGAACTCACGAAGTTACAAGCGTCACGAACCACAAATGCCGCGACTATAAAAAAAGAAGACTTGTGTTAACCCCGGGTAACTTGGGCCTAAAGAACTGTAGAAGCAGAATTTACTATACACCATTCCACATTCCTTATTTTAAAGTTATATTTTCCTATAAAATACTCTCGCATTTGGAACCACTCGATCAACGAGGTTGTTTGATTCAGATTGTTGACAGTAGGGCTGATGCCGATATGGAGCCGCGGAGGACTTAATGGGTTGCCGGGGTTCCGGTTCGAAGTGCAGAAGTAGGAACGGGATGGTTTTTAGTCAGTAAGAGCCTGACACTCCCTCTCGACTTGTCGCTACCTCTAATATTTCAAAAATATTACACGTAGGCCGTATCATCGGTTACCTATAAAAAAACAATTCAAAGAGAGCATCAGTATTCTCTGATGAACTTGATTCTCTTAAACTTCTTTCTATAATTCTCCTACCAAGAAAGAAATAATGAGATTATGGAAAACGCGGTTCGGTAGTGGAATCTCCCGAGCTGTAGATGTTGAAGTTATGACAATACCCTCATCTCCTAGCCTGGCACACACACCGGTGAAAGTATCTGGTACATTTTATACGCGCTTACATTCTTGACAAACGCAAAGGGGTGCAGTATACGCCGTTATAAACTAATGGTGATCTACTTTATGACCCCACATACATACATATATGATTGCGTCATTCATTCAGTAATATTCCGAGTGAAAATGAGAGGAAACCTTATGACTCCGACCAATTAATAATCCATTTCAGGAATCCTGAAACATTTTGTGATTAAACGCTGAAGGTCGAGAGTTTACGTAAGAACTATACTTGCACTTGTCATTGTCACCCTTTTGGTGTTGCGGATATTCATGGGTGCCCCTGACGTGATCAGTTTGTTCGTTGGCTTCCCTATAAAAATAGTAATATGCCTATGTTTTATAATAGGGTAGCTTCCTAAATTTTATCTTAATGTCCGTCTGGTAGATTAATTTAAAACTTTAGACTTGTATTTTTTTTCTCACAAAATTAAATACTTTCGACGTTATATTAATTTGAAATATCGTGTGACGTAACAGCATGCGATATTTTGTAACACGTTATGACGTAACGGCCTTCTACTCCTAAACTTAGCGCCATTTTATCAAAATATTGCAACTTAATACGAGAAAATAAAAAAATACGTGTCTAATATTTTTTTTATTATCTAACCGATGGACCTCTAACTACCCAAATAATGACGTATCATGGTGCTTTATGACCTACCCTGAAAAACATAGGATTTCTTAACTACAAAAAGAATTATTCAATTTGAACTAGTTCCGAATATTGGCGCGTTCAAACAAACAAATTATTAAGCTTTATACACACTTCTTTATTTTAATGGAAAACTCCAGAGAGTCCATGGCCACGTAATATTAGTCATGGTGATTGATTCATTATTTTGGTGACGTTTTTGATACTTCCGTCATATAGGTATTTATAGGCACCGTAAATAGTTGTGGTGGCCCGGAGGTTTAAGACGCCCACTTCTTATGCATGAGAGTGCGGGTTGGTACTTGTACCAATGTGACTTTTTCCGAGTTATATGTACTTTCTAAGATTATTTAGACACCACTGACAAACGGCGAAAAAAACATCGTGACGAAACCTGGGCTCATAATTTCTAATTATAAGTTTGAAATCGCCAACCCGCATTGAACAAGCGCGGTGAATTATTCTCAAACCTTCTCCGTGTGACAAGAGGCTTTGCTCAGAGTCAGCAGTGGACACTTATAGGCTGTTGATGATCATGCATGATGATGAAATAGTCGTAAAACTGAATTTGTTCAATGAAACGAACTAAAATATCCAGACTGAGTCCCTGATCGGATATTATTATTAGAAGATTTTTCGCCATGACTATCTTAAATTGAAATAATGTTTCAATAAACTACGTTTAAAATACCGACTTCATCGTCCTCCTTTTTTAACCGACTTGAAAAAAAAGGAGTTTTTCAATTCGACTGTTTTTTATGTTTGTTACTCGATTTATCTGAAGTTGGCTGATAATAAAGTCGGTTGATATACTAAAATCTATTCTGAAGTGTAACAAACTCTTTGAAAACAGCATCAAAATCGGTTCTGCCAATTGGGTAGTTTCCAGGTTATCAAAATTAAAAATCTAATAAGTCCGTCAGTTAGATAATGAAA